TCCTGAAGCTTTGGAGGGCTTTTTCCCCGGTGGGTTGTTCTTCATGACTTTGATTCAGGGGAGATGCTCCTGCAGGAAATACCTGTTCCCTGGCTCTGCTGAGTCACAACACTGCTTTCCATGGCATTCCTGCCCTGCAAGCACCTTCCCCACCCAGCTGGGAGCCCTCCAGCCACTAGAATGACTCCCCCCACCCCGTTCTGGCCAAGGGTGACAACTGTGAAAGGTCCAGGAGACCAGTCAGGGCTCTCCAGCCCTTTGTCTGCCACTGCACTCCTCAGTCCCTCAAAATGGGGATTTGGGCTGAAGGACAAAGACAGTGGCCAGGGAGAGTGAGGGAAGGTCAGGGGAAGACTTGGAGGAGGCTTGGACGTATCACCTGCAGTTCTGCTGCAGCTCCTCGGGTTTCTTTGGGTTGGAAAGGACCTGAAACTTCATCCAGTTCCGTGGGCAGGGACACCTTCCACTAGACCAGGTTGCTCAGCCCTCCCCTTCAAACTGGCCTTGCCTCCCTAGACCCACCCTGTTTCACCTCTGAACCCCATCTCTACCTCCCAGTTCCACCAAGGGCATTGTCCAAGGCCACAGCAGCACCACCAGGTGCAGGACAGCACCCGGCTTGGATTCACGGACTGCTCTGCCAGGAGCACGTTCTGCATCACCTTTGTTTGAACAACTCACCACCCTCTTGGACGAGCCTGTCCTTGCTGGGCTTTGGTTTGTGAATCTCCTCAGGCACACTTTAAGCCTGCAGATCACCGTGGTCCATAAAATAAAGCGGGATTCATTTTCCTGCCCCTCCTCGTGCTGCGGTTTCAGTCGGCGGTGCCAAGCCAAAGCCTTTACAGCCCTCTCTAATGCACCGGTGCTTCCCAGAGCAAACTATTTATGACCCTGCCACAGGAGGGAAGGTGGAAGGTCCCCACAGCAAGTTATTTATAGTCCTGCTGGTCCCTGGCCTCTGCTTTCCCCCCTGGAGCATCCCTGCTGCAGTCAGGAGGCACTTTTATACATCGCCATTAGCTCTGCTGTCACTCCTTGCTCAGAAATCATCATCATTGCGGTGTTGTTTGGTTTTTTTTTCCCTCAGTTTTTCAGGAATTCGGGAAGAATTCACCATAAACCTCCCCTGCAGAGCCCAGGCTCACCTCGGGGGAGCTGCTGGATGCTGCACACACCACCCCACCAAACCCGAGGTGGTCCCAAATACCATGAAAATCCTCTTGCCCGTGGGAGGTGGGGAGCAAGGGCTGAGCTGTAATTTAGGCTTTCTGGGGACTATGGGACACTCTTACATCGGGTTCTCCTTGTCTCCAAGAAGGCCAGAGCAGGGCCTTTTTATCTGCTTGGTGTAGTAGCAAGAGCTCAGCTGGCTGGCAGTGGAAAACATCCAGGGAAACACATGTTGGAGCCACAGGGGGAGTGGCAGCCCATCAGCTGCTTCACTCCCTTGGCTTCCACTTGGCTTGAGAATTTGGGATGCTCAGGCAGCTTTGCATCAGCCATTGCCTGGCAATAAAGCTCCACCAGCATCCTGCTCATCTTCTCCACGTGGTTTCCAAGCCACTTGTTAAACTCTGCAAGCGGATTTGTCACCCTGAAAAGCAGGAAACTATTACTATTAATAATAATAATAATAATAATAACCACCCCCACAACAACCACAACCACCATAACAGCTGATTTCCAGTGAAATACAGAAAGACAAGCAGGTCTGAAGGGTCCTGGGGAGTGGGGGTTTCTGCAACCATGAGGGACACAATGCAATGGAGGAGCAATTTGGAACCCTTTGCCTAATTACCCATCCTGCAGCAGCCAGAAGGTGTGAGGCAGACAATTAAACAGCACCACTGTTATCAGCTAGTTTAGCCACACCAGGGAATCAGCCATGGACAGAAGTGGGTGTCCCCTCCACTCCAATAATCCTATTTATTATAATTTTTGAGCGTATGTTCATGGCCTATGTTGCTTTGCTAAATATATTCGCTCTTGCCTTTGCAGACTGGTCCTAGCTGTGGGGATGGGTGGGGGGTAAAATGCACATGAAATTTTATGGGGGGATATTCTTCCCCTCCTCTTTTAGGAGCGCAGATGCACAGATCACAGAATCGTGGAATGGTTTGGGTTGGAAGCGACCTTGAAGCTCATCCGGTCCAACACCTGCCATGGGCAGGGACACCTTCCACTGTCCCAGGTTGCTCCAACCTGGCCTTGGACACTTCCAGGGGCAGCCACAGCTTCTCTGGGCAACCTGTGCCAGGGCCTCCCCACCCTCCCAGGAAGGATTCCTTCCATGGACACACACCCTGCCAACCTCCAGAGGCCAGACCGTGACACTGGCTCTGCTGGTGGCTGCCCCAGTGCCACCTGGCCCAGCTCCCAGATGCCATCCCAGCGTGAGGCTCCTGTGAAAGCTGGGCAGATGAAGAGCTCATCCCTTTCCTCTCTCCTGAAGCAGAGCCACTCCCGAGCTGTTTGCAGCCAGTTGATGTATGAGTGCCCAGCTCTGGCAGAGCAAGGCTGTGGGAGGAGAAGGGCTCTGAGCCAACTGCCTGGTTTTCCAGGCCCCATTCTCCTCACCAGGAGGGTGGTGGACCCTGGGATGGATCACGTGCAGCTGGAAACAGGAAGGTTTGCTTTTATTTGGGGATGGGATGACCCTTTGGAAGCAGCACAGGACCCCCCCCTGCTGAGCAAACACAGACTGAATGCCTGTGATCAGCCCCCTGTAACCTCTCTAGCACAGGAGTCACCTCCCCAAATGATCCCATGTCACATCCATAAATTCATTTCATCTTCTTTTCTCTCTGCACCTCAGGTGGGTGTCCATGATGTCCTTGGGACCGGCTGTGGGCGTGATCCTCATGGTGATGGGGACAATTCCCCCCACACCCCCGTGTTGGGAGTGGAGCCACCTTGACTTTTAGGGAGCATATCCAGCTGGCACAGCTTCTGCTACATCCAAAGGGGATAAAACCTCCCAAATCAGGGGCATTCCCAAGCTTTCTGGGAATGGAGAGTGCCACGGAGGGGACTCTGACTCCTTGGGAGGGCCGGCTCGTGCAGCCTGAGGAGCATCACGGGCAAAAACGCTGATGCAAGCAAACCCATCGTGGCATGGGGAGGGAGACTGTGCCCTCTGGGCTATTTCTGGCTTGTTTTTCCCAACTATGGAGCCACTGATCTATGGCATTGTCAGTGCTGTGACTAAGGGCTCTGCAGCTGGAGTCACATCGAGCCGGAGTTGGAGAGAGGGATATGAGTGGCTCTCGGGGGACCGGTAATGGGAGAGAGCCCTTCACCTCCTGTTTACACTTTAATGCCCAGCCAGGTCATTCATTATTTAGTGCTAATGTATTTATAGAGCATTACCAGCACGCAGGGGCTCTGCAGACAGCTGGGGAAGAGGTGCTCTCTCCTTCGGATATCGTGAGATTAACAGGGCAGTTAAACACAACACGGGCTCTGCTGACCTGCTGCCTTTGTACCTAGAGGGGCCACTCTTCCCCTCCTGGACTCTGTGGCTTTTCCAGGAGTGGTTGTTTTTTTTTTTCCTTCTGGGCCTGTGTAGCTTTTTCTCCACTCATCTGTCGGGCCCTGGACACGCAGCAAAGCCAAGCCTGGCTGTGGGCCCCCGAGGCACCCGAGCCCTCATGCCCACTCATCTGCACCCTTGTGCTGGCCATCACAGTCCAGCACTGCGGGGTTCCACTTCTTCGGGGTGAAAAATCACCCTCATGACTCCAGGTCAGCCAGGGAGGTCCTAATTCACTGCCTTCCCTTGCCTCCTCCTCTCCTTCCACTTCAGGAACCAGCTCCAGCTTTGACCACGAGGATCAGCCCCGCTGGACCTGCCCACCCACAGCTGCATCACATGTCTGTACTGTTCAAATGCAAAATCTTTGGTACCATCTTAAAATATGCACCAATTAACTCAGCTGTGTCCAGTTCCACCTGGATCTCTGGATGCCAGTGAATCCATTAGCAGCCCTGTCCAACCTTGCCTTGCAGACTCCCAGGGATGGGGTAGATATCACTTATCACCCAGGATGGTGAAGGGACCCAAGCAGGTTTGGAAGCAGAGGGACACAACCCTGCAATGCTCAGGGGTGCTGCAGGGTGTCCAGCTTGTGGGGCAGGTCAGGGAACGAGGACTAGGGCTGGAAGAGGAGCAGGACAGCCAGAGATCCTTCCTGGGCTGGAGAGGGGCTGACACAACCCCAAATCCTGCCTGAGATGGAGGTGGACTGAGACAATCCCCCAAATCCCCCCTGGGACAGAGGTGGACTGATACAACACCAAAACCTCTCTGGGCTGGAGGGGGACTCAGACAATCCCCCGAATCCTGCCTGGGCTGGAGGGGGACTGAGGCAATCCCCCAAATCCTCCCTGGATTAGAAAGACACCGTGATAGCCCACATCCCTCCCCAGGCGTGGGTGGGGACACACCGCAGCATCCTCCCAACTCCCACCTGGCTGGGTGCTGGACAGCTCCCAAATCCTCTCCGGGTTTGATGGGGACCGGGACAGCTCCTAAATCCTCCCCGGGCTTGATGGGGACCGCGACATCCCCTAACCCCTCCCCGGGCTGGAAGGGGACCGCGCCAGCCCCCTCCCCTCCGCAGCAGCGGGGTCTAGGCGGGTCCGGGAGCCGAGCCGAGCTCAGCCGAGCCCGGCTCAGCTCCCCCCGACGGCCGCTGCCCGCGGCGCTCCTCCGCCCAGCCCGCAGCGCCGGGCAGCCCCAACCCGTCCCCTTCCTCCTCCTCCTCCTCCTCCTTCTCCTCCTCCTTCCCCCTCCACCCCCCCGGCCCGATTTGGGCAGCGGCGCGCCCAGCGCTGCCGGCAGAGCCGCCGTGTGCGGGCGCCGCGCCGGAGGCAGCTCAGCCCCAGAGGGGGGGCTGCGGTGAGGCAGGAGCGACCCCTCCATCCCCCGCAAGCCTCCCCCTCCCTCCCCATCGCGCCCCGGCCCCCGCCCTGCCCTGCATGCCCGCGCAGGCAGCATGGCCCGCAGGCAGGCGCGGGCAGCGGGCGGCGGGCGCTGGCTGCCCTGGCTGGGGCTCGCCCTGCTGCCGCTGGCCGTGCCCCCCGCCGCCGCCCCCGGGGGCTGCCCCTCCGCCTGCTACTGCGTGGCCACCCCAGAGCTGGTCACATGCCGCTACGAGCGGCTGGAGGAGCCCCCGAGGGAGCTGCCGGCCGCCGTCCACAACCTCAGCATCGCCGGCAGCAACCTGAGCATCCTGCCCCGCGCCGCCTTCGCCGCCCGCCCGCTGCGCGACCTCCGCCTGCTCCGCCTGCGCCACGACAACATCCACACCATCGAGGACATGGCCCTGCAGGGCCTGCCCGCCCTGCGCACCCTCGACCTGAGCCACAACCCGCTGCTCTCGGTGGCCGCGGGGGCCTTCGCCGGGGTCCCGCTGCTGCGCACGCTGCAGCTCAACCAGGCTCTGCTGGCGGCCCCGCTCGAGGAGCAGCTCGCCCTGGCCATGCAGAACCTCACCCTGCGGCGCCTGGAGCTGGCGGGCAACGCTCTGCAGGCGCTGCCGGCCTCCCTTCTTCCCCCCGGGCTGGAGGAGCTGGACCTGCGGAACAACTCCCTGCAGCGGCTGGCGGCCGCCGAGCTCCGCAGCCTGGAGGCGCCGGAGCTGCGGGGGCTGCGGCTCAACCTGGGGGCCAACCCGCTGAGCTGCGACTGTGCCCTGCGGCCCTTCCTGGCCTGGCTGCGCTCCGCGGGCTCCCGGGTGCTCGACGCCCGCAGCCTGCGCTGCGCGGGGCCCCCTGCCCTGCGCGGGGCCGCGCTGCTCCGCCTGCGGCCCGAGGGGCTGGTGTGCGCGGCCAGCGAGGGCGGCGAGCCCGGCCAGCTGGAGACGGCCTCCTACGTCTTCTTCGGCATCGTCCTGGCGCTCATCGGCATCGTCTTCCTCATGGTGCTCTACCTGAACCGCCGCGGCATCAAGCGCTGGCTGCACAACCTGCGCGAGGCTTGCCGCGACCAGATGGAGGGCTACCACTACCGCTACGAGCAGGACGCCGACCCGCGCTGCGCCAGCACCGTGGGCACCCCCGGCCTCTGACGGCGCCCTCGGCATCACCCGCCGTGCCCCTCGACGCCTCCCCGCTCCCGACATCCACACCTCGCGCCGGCCCCGTCCGCCCCCTCGCCGTGGCACCGCCGATAATTAGTCTCTGAGGACGTGCCGGGAGCGGGTGCAGAGCGGGGTGACCCTCCCTGCAGGGCTCCCCCTGCCCGTGCCCCCACCGTAGCGCTGATTCCCGCAGGGGACCAGGCTGGATCCATCCCCCCGCTTCCCTCCCCATCGCAGTGCCCGCGGGCAGGGGAAGCACACCGGGATGGGCCCCGCGGGGTGCTGGCGCGCCGCAAGGCCCCGGTGCTCCCGGGGGGATTCGGAGCCCCTTCCCACACCTGCTCTCCGGCGGCGGGTTTTCCCGGGCGGCCCGAGGGATTCCAGGATGCCGGCGGGAATCGGCGCTGCGCGCACCTGAGTGTTTGCTTGGAGCGTCCAGGCGACACCCGAAACTGTCCTCCTGGATGTTCCTGGAGCCTGGACTTGACTTTGACCATGTACAGCTCTCTTTCCTATTAGATTTCTATATGACAGATGCGAAGTTCAACTCGATTTCTTCTTTTTATTTTAATTTTTTTTTCCCCTTTCGCTCCAAAGAGGAAAGCACACCGTCCAGCCGCCCGCCGCCCCCGCGAAGCGACGTGCTTTGCCGAGCCCCTTTATCCATTTAGTTTCGTTCCATGACATTTCCAGCTCGTTCCAGGCACAAAACGATGCAGCTGCGTAGGAAACGCCTCCGTTTGCTGCGTGCATGTTCCCCGGGGCACTTTTCTGACTCTGAAATCTATCGTAGACTCGGCTGTCTCGGCACTTTGTAATTTAAAACGAGCGGAGCAGAAGCTCCCGTCCTAATTCCCCCCGCCCGTGTTTGCTTTAGTGCCTGTTACTATATCCTAGAGCAAATATATTGAAAGCTGCACCCACTCCATCGTCTATTTTCTGTAGAGCTCCTTGCAGTGGTTTCTGAATAACCCCGAAGTTTTTATTGTGGCTGGTTTGCCAGAGGAAGGCAGCTCTGGGCTCCTCCGTGTTTTCCTTGGTGCTCAGAAACTTCTTTTTCCTGGGCTGGTTTGGCGGCCAGGGATTGCAGAGAGGTTTTGTGTGGCTTGTGCACAGATCTCAGGCTCTGCCGGTCCTAATCCTTCCCTGGGGCTCAGGAAAATTGTCCGGGAAATAGTTTTCTAAAGTAGTTTTTATCTCCCGGGTGGTTTGGCACCTAATCCATGAGACATTGGAGCGCTGAGCATCTACAGATGCAAGGCTGCGACTCCCAGCGTTCCCAAAGGGAGCTTTTGCAGTGTGGCATCTTAAAACGCTGAATTCCAGTGCCGGGATGAAAAGTGGAGCGTTGCATTTTGATCCACCTGTGTTTGCCTTTCTCCAGAAGGGGGAGAGTGATACAGGTAAGCCGTGCTGGGACCGGCCCCAGCGTTTGCCAGGTGTTTTGGGATCCTCAGGAGCAGCTGGTACTCACTGTGCTGGGTTAGTAAGGGAGAGTTTGGTGGGAGTTGTGGTCCCTGAGACCGTGTGTGGACTCAGCTGCCGGGTGGAAAGCTCTGCTGGAGGAAAACATAGTTATTTCCATCCCACAGACCCCCGGAAGGTGTTTCTGGTGCAGGATCCTTTGCATTTTGTCCCTTTGCTCCTTCCCTTTTTTGCATTTTTCCTCTTTGAACTTCCTCCCCTTGAAATCCCAGTATCAAGTTGGACGTGCTGGGAAAAGGGAGCTGGACTAGAGCCTGGATTCTGGTAGGGATGTAGCACTGGGCATCAAAATAGTTTTCCTGGGTGCTTTGGGTTGGTCCTGCTGAGCAGGGAGCTGGTTTCCCAACCAGACCTGATTCCTGATGAACCCTGAGAGCCCCCTGGCTCAGCTCATCTGAGAAACTTATTGCATTTTGGGGACCTTTTCCTCAGGTTTCCTCCCCACTGAAGGGGCTTGTGGGCTCTGGTCCCACTTTGCCACCTCATGCAATGAGGGAGAGGAGAGAAATCTCAGCCTGCCCCTCACCTTCATCCACTTTCCTGCTTCCTCCCTCCACTTCCCACGTCTGTGCAGCCAAAATGCAGCCCCTGAGCAGAAGAAAGGGGTGGATTTGCACATGTGGCAGAGGCTGGGGTTGTGAGTCCAGAGGCACAGCAGGTTGTGGGGATGGAGGTGGAAGATTTAACATCTTGCAGGGAGAAGCCTGGAGAGCTCTGCAGGCAGAGGGGGGTTGTTGGATCAAGGAACACCAGAGCCTGGGATCGATAACAGGAAAGAAATCACCCCCAGGACATAGGAAAAGTGGCCAAACACATCCTGGTCTCAAAGTCCTTTTATTAAGGGGTGGGCTCCAGCTTTTCCTGAGGCTGAAGGGAGGGAGGGATGAAGGTACTTCTCCTTTTGGCTCTGAGCACCCTGTGTGTGTGCACTGACCCCCTCGAGGGAGGCAAAGCCCAGGGATGTGGGGGTGGAGAACCAGCTGTGGGAGCATAATTCCTGTGGCTTGTTAACATCAACACTGCTCTGTGCAGCACATACCCCACGCATTAGGGAACCTCGGGATTAGCGAATTGTCACCGAGCTGAGACTCAGAATGTGCTTTTTGGGCTCCCAGAGACAGCCCTGTGTTTGGAGAATCCCAGCTGTTTGCATGCAGTCCCCTCTCCACGAGGGGTACGTGGACCTCCCAGTGTCCCAAGCCCATGGCTGCTGCCTGAGTGGAAAGTTACCCCAACAGCTCCTGAAGCCGGATGAATTTCAGGATGTAAACAGCATCTGTGGTAGGAATCAAGCAAAGGATGCTCAGAGCCTCCTGCAGTGGCTCACCCCTGAAAAAGAGGAGGGGGGAAAAAGAGCCAAAAAGTGCCTATTTATAAGCCCTGCCTGTGAGATGGCACCAGGACTCTGCAGCCCAGAGTGGGCTTTCAAGATCTGCTTTTCCTTCCCCATTTTCCAAAGAGCTCAGAGGTTCCCTGGGCTGATCCAGCCAAGAGGCAGGCAAGGAGGTGGATGTGGATGGAGCCAAGAGCTGTGCCAGGACCCCCTCCCTGCCCTGCCTGCACCCCCCTGCCCACACAGACATCCCAGGTGGGGTCCAAGTTGCTCCACGGTGCCAGAGCTGGAGGAAAGAGGCTGAGGGTGGTCTCAATTAGTGCAGAAGAGGCCAAAACTCCCTGTGTGGATTGCAGCTGTATTTATCCAGGGGAAATAAGTGAGCTGGAGCATCATCCTCATCCCCACTGGGTGTGGGGTGTGATGCTCCTACCCAGGGGCAGGGAAGGAAATCAACCACCAGCTGCCTCCTCCTGACAAAAATACACAGAATCAATAATAATTAATTCTCCCCAGGCAGCTTCACCCCTGAGAACCTTCACACCAGGGTTCCTTCACCCTTACCTTCCTCCTCTCTTATCAGGGATTAACTCAAACCTACAGAGGGAGGAAAAAACACCCCTCTGCTTTTCATTTTTTCCTCCAGGAAGAGCGAGAGGGAGGTGTTACCCTCATGCCTTGGGGAAACTGAAGCACGAACAAAGCAGGAAAGAGTTTGGGAAAGAAAAAAAAAAACCCACATCAAAATGCATTTCAGACCTCAGCAGGGCTCACTTAAAACTCGGGGCAGCTTTGGGACCTCCAAGCCCAGGACAATTCCCGCTCTGTTTGTCCTTTTTCAGGCTCAGAGGTGGCTCCTGCACCCTGCCAAAGAAATTTGGATTATTGAGGATCCCCCCTCTTACCTGTGGACGCTTCTAATTAGCCAGGTGGGGATAATTCTGGGGGATGGAAGCTCCTTGCTGAGCACCAACCTGCCTCTGGCAGCAAGGAGGGGGCTGGAGGTGACACCACCAGGGATCTGAGGACTTCTCCTGAGGGAGAGGGGCTGGGGCCACTCAGCTGGGCCAGGGAAGCAGGTCAAAGCCCCCAGCAGGAGCAGAGCTGGGTGTTTTCCCAAGCCTGGCTCAGGGCAGCCCCCGAGGGAGCTGGCACAGCACCACCCAGGCAGATGGGGAAGGACGTGTTTCCACTAATCTGCCCCAATCTGGATTATTTTTTCCCAAATAAACTCGCTTTCCCAGCTGTTTTACACAAGATTTTGGCACATTAGGGGACAGGTGGGGTTCTGGGCATGGGAGAGAAGCTGTCAGGGTGGAGTTGACGGAGGGGTGTCCCTGTGCCGTCGTCTGCATGGAGAGGGGGGACCAGAACACCTCTGAGGTGGTTTTGGCAGCACATCACCCAATTCCTTAGGCTGGGGATCATCCTGTGGTGCTTCTGAGAGCAGGGTCTTCACTGAGGTTTTCTCCTATGAAAACCTACTGAAAAATAATCGACCCTGGGGGCCTGGTGTCACCCCACCCCACCTCCCATCCAAAGCAGTGCTGGGATCTCCTGCAGCTTCCACCGGGATAAAACAGCACAGAAAATTCCTCCGGTGCTGCATATCCAGGATGATCCACAACAGGCAGTTTCTGGGGGTTTGGGGATGTCTCAGGGAGCAGGATCAACCCAGGGCAGATCAGTGTTGGTCCCTGCTCCTGTGTAAGGACACACCAGCACAGAAAGTCCTGTGGAGCTGCTCCATCCTTCCCAGCACGTTTCCCAGTCACTTGCCAGCCTGACATTTACAAATCCCTTATTTTTAGATGGTCTTCATCCCTTTTAATTGTTCAGGTGGCTTAGAGATGCTGCTCTGCATGGGCAGGACAGATCCCTGAGCCCCTGTTTCTCTATTCCTCTGAGCCTGTTTCCTTTTGGAAAACAGTGGAGTTCAGGGCCTCCCATCAACTCCAGGGACCAGGTTTTGGGGGATGTTGGTCCCACTCCAACCCCAAACCCTCTGATGGGACTTCAGGAGCTTCATGCACACAGAAAACACTCCTTACCTTCTCCAAATAACACCACAAGATGAGGCACCCAACCCTCCTCCCTTCTTGCTGCCCTGACCCCACCACCCAGGGCACCATCCACACTCTCCCCTGGCAAGGTGGAGCCACCCAGGAGCAATCCACGAGCCCCCAGGGAGCTGAGCCCAAGGGACAGCCCACAGAGGCTGGGCTTGGCAAATTAATTAGGAGCTCATTAATTAATTTAGTTACTAAATTAACATTCAAATCGACAAGACCTAAATGCGATGCCAGGCACCCCTGCCTGCCAGGACTCAGGAGCTTCCAGTGGCCCCGGTGCTGCCAGGCTGACGTCCCCAGGTCCTGGTACTGTGCCAGCAGCACAGAGAGAGAGACCCTGCAACCTTCAGGTCCCCAGACTGCTCACACAAGCCCTGAGGAGGCTGCAGCAGCCCAGTCACGCTGTTCCTGGGAGAAGTGTCCATGTTCAGCAGGAAAGCAGTAGGATCTGGTGCCAGGCTCCTCCTCTCTGTGATGCACCTCGTCCCCCCTGCTCTCTGCACCCCAACCCCAAAGCCCAGGGTGCCCAGCCCAGCCCTTGGCTGTCCCCCCACGCTCAGGGGGTGCAGCTGGCCAGGGGCAGCACCCACGGGGCCGTGTCCCCCTGCACGGGCTGGTGGTGACATCCAGTGCCAGATCCTGCAACTACAGCCCGGTGGAGCCTCAGCCAGGTCCCTGTGTCCCTGCTGTTGTCCATGGGTGATCCTGCTGCCCTGCTCACCCCCAGCCCAAACAGATCTGCCCATCTCCATGTCCCCTCCCCTGTTTCCTGGCTTCCCAACCCCTCAGGAGGGGCAGGGTTAAGTGTCTCCCTGGACAGCACCATCTGCTGCAGTGCCTGCTCTCCCCTGCAGTGCCCACCCCAGCTCACCTGCAGGAGAGGCTGCTCCTCTCCCCATCCCCTTTTCCCCTCTCCAACAGACCCCTCTTCCCTCCCTTGGCCAGGTCCCTTCCAAGCTGCTGCTTTTTCCCCAAAGCAACTTCACCCTTAAAAAAATTCTTCAGCTATCCAAGGGGCACATGGATACTCCTCCAGCTCAGCTTTTGGGGCAATGGTGCTTGGCTAAAGAATATGGAAGAAATAGGAAGGATTGCAACTACAAAGGGAATATTTTATTATTTATAACACTTCATTCAGCTAAATCCACATAGCAATACACAGAAAACTCTTCAGAAAAAAAGTGCAAATTCTCACTCTGTGTTTTGTAATATTGTCCAAGCTTTACAGAACAGACACTGGCTTAACAGGAACACAGATCCAAGATTCCAGGCAAGGGAAACAATTCAACTTCAGATACTTCAGTCACCTTGAACAGAGCTACTCTTGAGCAGGGAGGGTGGCAAATGTTCTGGGAGTCAAGCTGGGCTGGAACCACCCAGGTGTCACCATGCAGAGATCCCCCTCTCAGCCAGGGAGAGGAGAGGACAAAGGGTGGGGGGAAAGACAAAATAAAGTGGTAACAACACTAGTTTTGAAGTTAAAGGGAACATCCAAGTGCTTCCTAAAGCAGCACACACATTCCATTCTGCCTCGCTCCACCTTGTGGCTTCTCCATCAGCGCTCCCAGAATTCCACACAAACACACTTTTAACAGGAGCTGAAATCCCTAATCCCTCAGGAGCCTGGCAGAGGGGACACTCCAAGTGCTAGCTGGGCACAGATAAACCAGGGAACGACACCAGGAATGTCAACATGCAGGTAAAACCACCGATCTGGGACAGCAACAGCTCAGGATCAGGCAGGGCAGGGCAGGGAGCCCCAGGCAGAGCGTGGGCAGCTCACCTCCACCTCAGACATGGAGGGTTTCACTTCTCCTACCCTGTGCACAGCACAAGTGCATGTCCCCTCTTTTAGAAGGAAGAGCTGGGTATTTAAGTGAGGGACATCAGTAGCTCCTCAGGCCGCATCCCAGTTCTCCCAAGGGAACCCCGGCTCCTCTGAGTCACATCCTGCTGGGAACACAAGGGAAGCAGACCTGGCTCAGCACCCCAACACCAGGTGGGGGCTACTCTGGGCCACAGCCAGCCTGGTGCTGGAGGTTTCCAGCCCATCTTTCCCTGTTAAACACATTCCCTCCCTCTCTCCCATGCCAGAGTTTGTGATTCCCTCACATCCTGCCAGGAATCCTCCTTTAGAGATGCAGGAGAGACACAGGCAGCCCTTGGAACTATTTAAGCCACACAGACTGGGTGCTGTTTCACAACTAGAATAAGAAATCCAGCTACAAGCTGTGCCTCACTGACACTGAGCCTTGCCTGGCAAGTCCCCTGAACTTGGAAAGCTCCTGTCCCAGACCCAGGGAAACAGCTTTGCCACAGGGATTCAACCTGTCACATCAGAGGGGAAGAGACAAAACCAAGCCCTCTGGGTTTTATCAAACACTAAACCCAACTCACTGGCCCTGTGACTGTGCTTTAAGTCAGGGTCCAACCTCTCAAAAGGTGTATTTTGCCTGGAAGCACCTCGTGAACAACACCCAGGGTGTCCTTTTGATCTGTGACCTGCTCCCTACTCAGGTCAGAAAGGCCTTTGTTCTTATCCTAGAAGTAGGAAAAAAATAAAAAACCCAGCTGAACAACTGAAAGAAGGTTGTGCAGGAGCCAGATGAACCCTACCACGGTGCATAACAAAGTTACAGAGCAGGGAAACAGGAGAATTCCAGTCCTTCACAGTAACAGAGATAAGGGATGCGAGATCAGAAGGAGATAAAGGAGTTCCACAAATGGAACAGTATAAATATATCCAACAGTTCCAAAACAGCAGGAGAACAACAGTAGCAGCAGTTTCAAAAGAGCAAATAGTTATTCTACCCTTAGAAGTACATTCAACACGTTGTGCCTGTCGCTGTTCACCCCAAAAGCATCACTAACAGCTACGACTCACTGCCAGACCCACCCACGGGGAAAAACCCCAGGTACACAACACCCACATCTGGGTTTTTTTTCGTTTAATGAAAGATACTTAGACTATGAACAGTTATACCAACTTCTATGCTTATTCAGAAACCCAGATTTTCCTCATTTGTAACACTTGGCTACCGAGCCAAAGCGGATCCCTGGGAAGTGGCAGATTCCTGCTCTTTGTAGGAGCACAAAGATCACTCACAAGACAGAACTGCTACAATAACACACGGCACACACACACACACACAATGCTTTTTACAGCCTGTGTTCAGAGTTATGTCCCAAGTCAACTTTGCACCACCAGGAGAAAACAAATCCTCAATGCTTCAGGGTTTAATCTGCTGCCAAAGGCAGGAATGGCAAGAGCTCCTTCAAACTTGGTGCAGATCTGCACCTTTTTTTTTGGGGAAAATTGAAGGCAAAGCAGCATCAGAAATGCCTTCACACCTTCCAGACCTACCTAGAATTATACAGCAACATAAGCAAACTCTGATTTAACTTTTCCCCCCCCATCAATCAAATGTACAATTAAAAAAACAAACAAAAAAAGAAAAAGGCAGGTTTTTGGCATTAGATACACTTCACTCAACGGCAGAACAATTTGGAGATACTTTCTCTTAAAACAAAAACAAACAGGAATAAATAAATAGTGACAGGTCAGGATTTGTGCAACACAGACCTTCTGTGGCACATGTACATTCATATACACCAAAATACCTTCTCCACGGACATAGTGCAGGAAAAACCCCAAACCGAGGGGCTCTTTAAAGCCATGGAGAGGCAACACACACAGCCCCACCCTGTGCCATCCAGCTGGAAGGGTAAAAATCAGATGGAGGACAAATCTGGGGAGTTAACAAGAGTGGCAAACAACAGCTCGGACTGAAGTGCATTTTGGGTTCTTCTCACATCAACTTTTAACAACTCAGTGCTGGGTTTTACCTGGTTTTTTTTATTTATTTTCTGTCAGTGATAACAGGGAGAGAGGCCCAGAACCAGCTCTCCTGTGCCAAAGTGTGGCTTTGATCTTCTGAAATACCACAACCTCTGCAGGAGAACTTGTGCAATGGCCTATTTTTTTTTTTGAAATGTGATTAGAAAGTGATTAGTGTATCACTTTCTACTCAGAAAACAGATAATGAGAAGCTGTCAAATATTTGCCCTGAAAGATAAAGAATAATAGTATTTACAAAAGTGCTACTCAAATAGAAATTAGCTGACAAGACATGGCAAAAAAAAATCATGACTCAGTAACTGTGTCAGTGTCTCACCTCCACTTTTTTAAACAATATAAATAAATGCAGGTCAGAAGAACCCAAAGAGTCACTGACTGGCACAGAAAAACTACAACAAAAAAAACCTTAAGACCCTTGAGGAAGGTGGGACAAAAAAAGAGCTACAAAGCCTATGACAGTCAGAATGGGCAATTTAACCAAGTAATGACCAATTCCTTCTCCTCTGGAAGCCTTGGAAAGGCACTACACAATTCCAACCCCAAAGCAGAACTGCAGGTGTTGCCACCATTGCTTCACTGCCAAGTTTTTTTTTGAAAGACAGACACAGGAAATGCACCAAGAACACCTTCACCAACAGGAGAATTAAGCAGCTGAAAAATGTCAACAATCGGCCTAAACAAGAACTGCTGAGCTCTACTTCCACGGTTTTGGAAGCACAGACCCATTTTCTGAGGGTCACACAGAGCTGAGAGAAAGAAGCAGGATTTTTGTCAGTCTGGAGCGATCATCCCTACCTGACTTTCAAAGCTTTTCACACAAAGAAAAAATGTATTTTAAGTACCTGGAGCGAGTTTAAGACAAGATCCCGTGGCTAAGATCACCTGCCTTAAACATATCAGGGCAGTTCACTTGCACTGATGGGGGTTAATTAACCTTTTGGTCAAAAGGATGGAAAATTCTAACAATTAATTCCGCTCTTTTCTCCGATTTGCTCTCCCCCTTTTTTTTTTTCTAGCCCGGACTTTGGTGAAGAGCCTGACAAAAGAACGCTGCTTCTTCAGGGAACAAAAATGCAGCTGTTTAACACACAGACACACACACACAGACATTTGGAACTGATCCTGTTCTTGGGCCCTTTGTTCCCCCTGGAGGCTCCTGGGAAGGTCTAAGCCGAGCGCCAGGTCAGCCCGTTCTTGTCCGGCTCGAGGAAGTTGTCGATCAGAGCCCCGATCAGCTTCTGGAGTTCTTCTTCCAGCACGCTCCTGTCACTGGGGGAAAAAGGAACGACAAGGCCACCACGTCAGAGCTTTGGGAAACACACCAAGAAGCCGTTTAAAAATAAATAAGTAATCGGCAAAACCTGATGGGGGATGGATTTGGTCTGCGCTGGGTTTTTTTTTTTTATACCAGTATAAACAGGTAGAGACTCCAACTGGCTCCTCTCTGAGAGGGATTATCATGGAATCAGACTGATTTGGACTGGACAGGACATTTAAAAGATGGTGCTCAGAGCCCTCTAGTGGCCCTTATTTTTCCTCTTTAATTCGTTTTAATGAACACAGCAATAATAAGGTGGAGAAGTCCTCTTCACCATCTACCCCTCACGATCCACTGGCCACCTAAACCTGACCAAATATTCAGTGAGAAAAATGTGCTCACCCTGAATTCCCGCCAATAAGTCAAAATAAATCCCAAACTAAGCCTCCTTTGTGTTGTTTTCAATTTTCTGCCCCACAGAAGTGTTGGGATACCAGTCTAAAAATGAGGAATCGTGTAACTCATGTTGGGGATCCAATCCAAAAGCTTCTCCCCACTATCTGGACTGAACCTCAGCTCCTCATTCTCACTCCTGATTTCAGTGGTATAAACATACCCTGGATGTTTTTCCCCCACCCTCCTTTTATACTGGAAGCAGCTCAGTCTAGGTGACTGTCAAAGGGGATTGATCTCCAGTTATTAATCCAGCAGCTCCACCAAAAGAAATGGGAAACCACTTGGCTTTAAGAACATCTGCCAGCAACAGCATAACTTAAGAAAAAGACTGGACATGGCACTCATGGGTGAGAAGGTCACAGGTTGGATTCACTCCCAGAGGTCTTTTCCAACCCTAAATTATTCTGTGATTCTGTAACTTCATCACTTTTTAATTCTAAGCAAACAAGGAACTGGATTAACTGAAGCCTGCTGCAGCAGATGCTGAAAATTCAGGTTTCTTTCTTCTTATCCACTACAGTGAAAATCCCTCGTGAGCAGGAATGTGCATCACCCTGGCCAGGTTAGGAGGCTGGAATTCAGCTGAGGCTTGGTTTTGCTGACCTCTGCTCGGGCAGGGCACACATCTCAGCGTAGTATTTGATCTTGGGCTCCGTCCCACTGGTCCGAAGGGTGGCAACACAACCGTTCTGGAAGGTGAAGGTGATCATCTGGCTGCTTTTGCTCACCGGCAGCACCTACAGAAACAACAAGAAGCTTCTTCACTCCCACTGGAACCCCAACATCTGAAAGCCTGCTGGGCAGCTTAAGAGCTGCAGGAGCATCAGGCTCAATTAATTAACCAAGTTCCTTCATTGCTGTATCACAACAGTCAACACATTTCACCTTCAAGCTGTTTTCTCCCCCACTGAGTGATGTTAAGCAGTCTGATGACGGAATCATTCTGCTATCCTAGTTGACACGGGGCATCCCTGCCTCGTTCACGCTGCTATTTACCCTTGAGTTCCCTCAAAACCAGACCCTGCTGGGCAAAAATCACTCTGCAACTCACCGATTTCTTGTTCAGCTGGCTGCTGTCATAGCCAGTGGTGACATCTCTGACATGTAACACGTTGTAAACCCCGCAACACTTGGGATAGGACTGAGGGCCGTCGAAGTTCCGAAGCCTCTCAAATATCCTTTTGATCGTAGGAGGGTCGTAGCACAAGAAATAGGAAGTCTTGGATATGTGATATCCGTACCTGCAAGCAGATCAACACTTTCAGCTAGGAGATGCAGAAGTTTTTTGGCACATTTGGTATCTAAAGGAAGACCCTGGCTGGAAAAGCAGCAACAGAAAAAGAATTGAGTTCACAGAGCTGTGGAAATAGGTATTTATAGGCAAACATTTGGACTCTGAAGCAGATTTTGCTGCATTACTCAGATCATCTTGAGCTATTTTTAAATTCATGCAAAGTTTTCAGCCCCCAAAGAAGCAAAAGCCAACCATTTGGGTAAGTGCAGCCTTGGTGGCCCTTGAAAAATGGATTGTCCAGTGTCACTCCCCCACCCCATAACTGACTGCCAGAGCCAGGTGGCAGCCACAACAAGGAAGGTGGCTGATTATTCCACCCAAGTTAAAACTACCATCCCAAATCAGACCTCATGCTCACTAGCAACAACCACCATACGTGCACACTGAAATTTAAGTTGTTCTCCACCATATTTCACCCACTGTTACTTCTACAGAGACCTTTCTCTGCAGCTTAAAAATGAGGTGTGACTGGTAGATAAATCCTGCTGTTATCCCTGTCATTTTGATCCACCTGTGCAGAGCTGTTCTGGATACAGTTTGCACAGGACAGAGCAAAATCCTGAGTACCACGGAGAGATAAAAGGTGATTATCCTTCGTGCTTCCTCATTCCAGGTTTCCAAAGGCCTCAGTGTCTTCCTGCTGGGCTGGCAGGAAAGGGAATGACATCCATAATGTCGGTCTGTGCTGTCAGTTCTGTTGAAGCCCAGGAATTTCTGCTGATGTTCTGGGCTCATCTCAGTGCATGGCTTAATTCTGACACACAGGATCCTTGTTTTATTGCTGGGACACCTTCCACCAGCCCAGGTTGCTCCAACCCAGCCTTGGACACTTCCAGGGATCCAGGGGCAGTCACAGCTTCTCTGGGCAACCTGTGCCAGGGCCTCATCACCCTCACAGGGGAGGATTCCTTCCCAATATCCCATCTAACCCTGCCCTCTGGCAGTGGGAAGCCATTCCCCCTTGTCCTGTCTCTCCATCCCTCATCCAAAGTCCCTCTCCAGCTCTCCTGGAGCCCCTTTAGGTACAGTGGGATCTGCACTAGCAGTGGACTGTAATCCATAATACATCAAAAAAACCAACTTACAATCAGAAAACATCCAGAGGACACGTTAAAAATATTTAGTAGATTATTCCCAGCTCTAAAATAGTTAAGTGGAACATACTAATGAAGAATACAACTCACATTTCATATATCTCAACGAGTTTCTGTGCCAATGTGAGGTTCTGGCTCTCCAGGTACGTTGCCATTTCAGCAATGACCACAGCAGCACTTACACCATCTTTATCCAGCACTGATGTGCCACACATAAAGCCTGGAAATTAAAAAAAAAAAATTGATAGATTATCACACTGATTTCCTTGATTAGGTTTTAACCTTTTATCCTGTAAAAGAAAATTGGCCAGTACACATAAGTTGGTTTATTACTGCATATGCAGGGGAAATCTAATTAACTTGGGGGGTTACAGGGCTGCAAAGATCCCTGCTGTAGTCAATTAATTCCAGATTGATAACATCTGCTCCCTGGGGAGTTCTGTCACAGTGCAGTGCTAGACAAATACACACTTGTGCTAACCAGGCATACTCAGATTTAAGATGTGCTGGGCTCTCCTGATTCTGTTTTAATTCTACTTTATACAGATTAAGAAGATATATTATATTTATACCATTTTGGTGATGGCCTTACCTCATCCACAAGCTGTTTTTATCCAAAGCACAACACCAGAATCAGAGGGTCACATGTAAGGAATTGACTAAAATAGTTGGCAATTTGGTTTGAGGAGAGCAAAACATCAATACCAGCAACTACAAGGACAAAACTAAAGTACTTTTGGGGTGATTTGTTTCATAACTAAGATCAGTCCTTTCCAATCACATTTTCCCCCCCACACAGTTCTCAACACTTTACAGGGATATAAAGCCTACCAATAGACTCTTCAAATGCAAAGAGAACTTCTTTCCCATTATCCAGGAGGTTTTTTACTCTGCTTCCAATCCATTTGAAACCAGGCAGTGTTTCCTAAAACAGGAAAAAAACAATAGTGCTTAAAAAAACCCAACAAACCTACAAGCCATTTTCAATTCTGTTTTAAGTCAAGGAAGGTGAAGCCACTAGTCCTTCACTTCAGATTCAAAAAGCACTCAAAAGGGGGAAAGATATTGTGAATTTTAGGGTCAATGGGAAAGTCTGCTGCAGAGTCAAAACACTGAAGATAAAAGACATTTTTATGATTTTCTTGAAATAATTTCCCTAGATTTAAATCTAATTAACTGACAAAAAAAATAGAGACAGCAAAGAAACAGCAGACAGGTAATCACTTCTGTTTAGATTATGAATTTAAGGTAAAGAGCTGCTGGATAGCATTTTCCCAGGGCATACTCCACTGGGACATGAGCATCACATCAAGGAGTAAATGTTGTCTGAGGGACTGTGGTTCCCTGAGGTCAGATCTTCTGTGGTGCTTATCAGATGAGACAAAGTTATTCACAGGGAAAAACTGCAGGAATATATAAGCAACAATTTTAGGTGATGGGAAGGAAAAGCACTGCCTTTTTTTTTTTTTGGTAAATCATTCAAAAGCAGTCAAAAGCTTTGACACAGCCTTGGAGGGAAGGAAAGTATAAAGGGGAAGTTTTTACAGGAGACCAAGGGGAAATCCACTACAAGGAGAGGATATTCAACCTGATTAAGCTTTTCTGGCCAGTCACTCAAAATGGTTTTCAGAGTTGCTTTCAATCTTAAATTCCTCATTGCTTGCCAAAATATTCGTTCCTATTGCACGAGGCTCTAAATGAGACACGGATTAAACAAGACCTGGACCTTTGTATGTTTGTGCTAAGCTTTAAGGCACTTGCTCCTCTTCTGGCAGAGATCCAACAGCCTCAGAAATCAGACTTAATCCTTGAATGCAGGAACTAAAATAACTGTCAGCCTGTGGGGTACCCATTTTCTTTTTCAGCAAGCTCTTAATGAAGCTACATTAAAGATCTGAGCGTAGGAGTTCCTGTGCCTGTCACAACTTGAAGTAAACCCCAATTTAAAAACCTACTGGGGCCTGAAGGAACGTTGTGTGACCTCAAAACGCTTATTAGAAATCCATCAGCATTTTGTAGTGAACACAGCAGACTGCACAAGCTTTCATCCTCACACAGAAGAATTTCTCTCTAGGAAGATAACCATGGCAAAGGCATTTATTTATCTGTAATTCAGGTGTTAATCTGTGCTGCCTGCTAATGCAGCTTTGCTTAAGTTGATCTCACAGACTGTAATTGCTGTGACACGCACTGAGGATGCTGCAGGGGATGAAGTCAGCCTTGTCTGGGTAAAAACACCCTCTGCAGGTTGAAATGCACCAAAATTCCAGGCAATAATATTGGAAGTCATTTACTTTTCATGTCATGAAACCACAGGTTTCAGACAGGGAACATGGCACTCGGACCTCGCTCTGCTGAGACATCACAAAACCCAGGCTTACCTCGAAGTGAAATCCCTCTTTCTGAGCAATTGCTCTCAGGATTTTCGACGAGACTGTGGTGGCCAACATGTAAACATCCCTCACATCAGCACCCTGGGGGCAGTTCTCCTTCCAGCGGGAAAACATCCACCACCCGAACAGCGCCGCCAGCTCGTTGCCAGTGAACACCTTCCAGCAGCCACTGCAGAGAGCAGGGAAAGGACACAAGAGCTCTCCCAGCTTTCCCAGGAGCATCCAACTCAGGGGGAGAGGCTTTCTGCAGTCACTGGGACAACAGGGATTCTGAGCACACCACCAACAAGCTGCTCTAGACAAAGCCACCGGACCAACAGGACTCCACCACTCGTCACATCCCGAGGATTTACAAGCCCAGAGGATTCCGTGAGCAAAAGACACCACGGAGTATCCTCCCTGTGAGCCTTCACACACAGCTCAGCTCTTCTGGATTTATCCCCCGAGCAGCAGAGCAGTCTAGAACTGCCTCACAGGGAGCAGTCTATGCCACTGATACACTGCAGTCAGGCAATGCCTGCACAACTCTTTTTACTTACACAACGGGCAGAACTGGGGCCTGTTCGTGGAAGAAAAATAATTTCTATTCAATATGGACAAGCAGGGAAAACAAAAACAAAACACCACAAAACAAAACAAAAAAAAACCCAAACAAAAAAAACACACACCCCAACAAAAAGCCCACAACACTCAGCTGTGCCAAGGCAGGTTTGCCCAATATAAATAATAAAAAAAAAAACCCCAACAAATAGTAACAACAAGGTTTTACTGCTTTTAGTAACCACTCAGTTTTCAGTTGAGCTTTATCTGGCCATTTACAGCAGTAAGGATTTAATCTAATCTTTGAGTTATTAACTGATTTCACTCAAGATACAGTTGGAGCTACGCCAAAAGATGGAACTAGGAGGAAAAACACCCGAATAGGTAAGCCACCAAGGAAAGAAAGATAAAATAAAAAGGTCCCATCACTTACTTTTCCTGATGTTCTGCCACTGCCAGTCTATCTGCATCTGGATCAGTGGCCACTACTACTTTAGCATTTTCTTTCTCTGCAAGCCTCAGGGACAATTCCTGATGGGAGAATGCAGAAATATAAAATAAGAGCACATAATCCACAGCCTTCCTGCTTACACCTAACACAAGGAAAGAGATCCCACAATGGATTTCCCACTGCATCAACACAGCTGAAACCCAGGCTCTCCCAGTCCCCTTTCCCATTTTGTTTTTTTCCTCCCCACCCAGAGAAATCTGATGAAGTAAAACCAAAAGGTACCAGCACAGATTCTCCCTCTTCAGGATTGGGGCATTTGACAGTGGAGAAGTCTGGGTCTGGATCTTTTTGCTCGGGTACTGGGATGGGGGGCTGGAAGCCAAAGGCTTTGAAAGCCAACTGCACGTAGTCGTGTCCCACTCCGTGGAAAGAGGTGTGAACAAACTTCAAACTCGTCTGCACATTCAGCTCCCTGAGGAGGAAAACAACAACGTTTCTCTAAGTTTTTGGTCTGTTTTCACAGGGGCAGCAGAAGAAAATGCAATCCCACTGTGTACTATACTCTGCTGCTTTCTGCATTAATTTCAAAAGGTGGAAGGAGTGCAAAGTGCTTATTTGGGCTTGCACTAGAAATTGCTGGCTTAAAGCTCCTCCTGGAAAATGAAGCATTTACCTTCTGCTGAATTGGATGAAAGTCTCCCAAGAACGAACTGCTGATTTCTACCTCAAACTCAAGCTCCTCCACCACCTTAAAGATGTTACTCTGCTTCTACTCAGCCTATATGTCATTTGTCCTCCTCCTTTTAGTCTTCTTTTCTGCCTCACCCAAACTTGAATTTCCTCACCTACACCACACCTGTACTCTGAATTTCTGCATTTTACTCAGGACTCTTTGAGCATATAACTTTGCATGAAACAGTTTTAGCTTTATCTTCAGCAAAACAGTTTAATCCTAAGGATGGTGATTTTACTAAATTCACTGACACAGAAGACACTGAAGTCTGCCTGCAATCACTTTTTCCACATACAGCCCAAAGCTTCCTTCAGAACATGATTTAAGCACATTTTGCTTCATACAGTACCTATGGTAACAGATCTTTTTCAGGTCCTCCATGTAGCAGTCACAGATTTTCTTCAGAGGATCCTGCCTAAGGGGACTGGTGTCCACTAGATTTTCATTCCAAGAGCCATTCCATGGTTCAACACACTCTTCTATACATTTTATGATTTCCTTGTCATGAGGAGCAGTGATCTGTGCTCCATTTTCCCAGTAAACCTGATGGAAGTTGAAGGACAACAAGATAGTTTATTTACAAAATGTTATTAACTTGATAAATTCCTTGAATTGCAGGACTTCACATACTTTCTGCTTTTTCAAGTGACATAGAAAATTCACCATCTGACTGGCTTGATTCTGAAAAGCCACTTGGAAACTCTCAAAATGAACTTTTGAGTTCATTATTTCAGTTACATAATGGTAAAACCACCCACCAAAACCACCTGTTTAAAAAAAAAAAAAAAACACAAAGCTGGAATTTAACTATTATGACTGAAATATCAGGGTGTGAGAAACCAGAGCTGGGCATTTACACTTGAGATGGTTGTACAAACTGTAACAGATAGAAAAATGTCACCTTCTCCATGGTCTGGCATTCCTTTGGAAAAAGAAACACAACTTGTTTTTGAACCCAGAGCAGGAGAGATAAGCAGAGTGCCAAGGAATGTGTTTTTCCATGGCTGAACAACTGTAATCTTTGAGCTGGGAACACCGTCAAACCCTGGGCTATAAAAAAAGGTCTTTGTTGAAGAATTATTTAGATGCCAGTTTTCCCACACTTGGCTGAGCTCACAGTGCAGACTTTCTGCTCAGAGAATCTGCCTCTGTTTCCTTGTCACTTTGTCACATTTGGTTCAAATTGCCCAGAACCTGCTGAATTGACAGAGGAAAATTGTGAAAGATCAAACAGTTCTGGGAAAAAAGACTTGGAAAACCCCACAATATCCTGACCAGAGGGCTGTATCCCAGACACACACACATAGAAGCTTCTTGAGAAATAATTCATCCTCTAATGTGATACTACTGGAACTTGACCAGCTTTACCTTGTACCCATTGTCCTCCTTCCTGTTGTGGGATGCTGTGATCATCACTCCAGCCACAGCCCCGAGCTGCTGCACGGCGTAGGGCTACAAAGGAAACCCAAAAAAAAAATGTCCATTTACCCAAGAGTTCTGCCACACATCACATTAGCAAAGTCATGCAACAGGATGCTACAGAAGTGGTTTTCTGTGTTGCATCAGCTTCTCTGAAAAATGTATGAGTGAACATCCATCATTCTGCCTCCTGTAGCCAGTAAGAAAAAAAAGTTTGTCCCATTCTGCTGCGTAAAAACATAATTTTTATCAATTACACAAATGCAACAGTTAACTGGCCAACTGAAATCTATACTCAGATTACATGAGCACTTCAGAGAAACAAGCAGGCTGAAGCAGAAGGAAGGAATTCACCAGAAGGCTTGAAAAACAAATTAAAGGTATTTCAGTCCTCCCCTCAAAACAAGATCCACACCTTGTGGAACAGAAGCAAGGATTTTAAAACCCTGCAAGGAAAAGCTGCTGTGACCAGAAGAGAAAGCTCTGTTTCTGAGATATTAAAAGCAGAGGCACAGAAGGATTCAGTGATATTTTTGCAGCCTCCTCGAAGGGCCAAGTACACTGAGCAGCCTCTGTTTTTCTGTTTAAACAACAATTCACGAGGAAAATCGCTGGTTCACGGTTTTTTTTTAGCAAACTCAAACATGGAAGAGAAGGTGACTCACCACAAAGGGTGTGGGGACATAGGTAGAGAAGAAGTACACAGGGACATCTTTGGCCAGCAGCACTGCTGCAGTGAGCTTGGCAAGCCTAACAACGGGAAAACCAAAACATTCAGTCAATCCAACTCCCCACACAGCGATCCAGTAACGCTGATGGCATTCCTGTCACCTCCAGACAACTGTTTCTCCAATCCCTCCGTTGCTTTTTTTGGGCTTAATTTTCAGTCCATCACCCAGATGAACCAGTGATACCAAACACAGAGATACAGAACCTACTGGAGGGACACCCGTCCTTCGCTTCCCAGGAAGTCTGAAGGGCCAGGTGTCTGCAACAGCAGGTTTGGGAAAGGATTCTGCATCCCACACAGATGAGTTTAAACCCCTTTATCCCAAAGCCTGGTGGATGATGGGCCACGCACATCAAAGGCCCAAGGGAAAGGAGAAACTCTTGGAAGACAGCCACAAGACTCTGTGCTCTGTCACACCAAGAACTTCCACATCCCTAAAATATTCAGTGCTGGCAAAGATAATATTAAAAAAAAAAAGAGAAACAACTTTGTTAATTATTGCAGTTAATTGCTGTAGCTAACTACTCGTTACCTAAATGCTAATTAGCTGGCTAATTAGGTTGGGTTGTTGTAAGGAATGCCATTACCACGTGTTTTTTGCTCCTGGAGTGACAAGGGATTAAGATTCCTCATGGAATTCACGAAGTTCTCTGCCCTTTTGTTACAAAGGGCACAATTTGGCATCACTGACATTTAATTTTTAAGCATTCCAGGTCAAATATTCCCCAAGGGAAAATACACCAGGTTACAGGAGGCTGCAGGTGGAATTTTTCTCCCCCAGACAAGCTTAAATCAGGTGCAAAATACAACAGGATGACAGTGTTAGAAGCACATTAACACTTCAGAGATTTCAAGCTAAAATGTTAATATTCTGAATTTACCTTCATATTCAAATTTTTCTCCAGGCATATCAACTTCTCAACATCTGCCTCACGTTCTTGTGCACTTAAACCTGTAAATTCTTTGGAGTGACCAGCCTGACACTCCACATTTCTGGTCAGCTGGTACCATAAAAGAATTTATTTCCAGCCTCTCTTCACTACTATTTAAATGGACTAAAGGAGGGGGAAGAGAGTGCCCAGTTCATCACAGAAAATGCTGACAGAACAGAAAGCATTCAAAGCCACAATTTCATTTCTAGTCTTGCAAATGTAATCAATACTCATACTTCTTACTGCTGCAGTTGCTGGTGACCTGACCTCGTGTGTCATATCCAACAACAAAGCCTCTCTGCTTAAAGTCTGAAAAATTCCTCTCAAGATACTTGTAGATCCCCTGGAAAGAGAAAACAAACAAACAAACAAGGGAAAAATAAGAATTAGCACACAAACATTAAAAATGATCTTTCACAGAGGATGGATAAGGTCAGCAGGCAAAAGACAGCTCAAAAACCTCAATAATGGTGTTCACAAAAGCAGCAGAGTGATTTTTTTTTTCCCCAGTGTTCACTGAAAGAAAGCAACTAGAGAAATAATTTCTTACAGCTGTGAGAAATAAAAGTGGTACAACAATAAATCCTCAGGCAGCAGACACTTGTTTTCAATTCATACTGTGCTTTTACTTATTCAAGTTATCTTCTCAATTGACCAAAAAAAAAAAAAATCCATTTTCTGGGAGTCCATCCACTCCGCCAATACAAGGTTTGTGCCAGTCAAGTTTTCATCCTTGAGCTCACAGCACAAGCCAGACACCTTTTCAACACCATTTCTCAAGTGTTAGTCCTAAAATTTGCCTTAAAATCATGGAATGGTTTGCACTGGAAGGGACTTTTAAAAGATCTTGTGCTGCAGTTTCACCTCCCCCTGTGGCCTTCACATCCATTCACCTCCCAGTCAGAGTCCCTCTGGAGACCCATCACGGAAACAACCCAGGGCAGATCAGCAGTTTCAGATAAAAAGATGGAAGCACTATTGTTAATGGAAGTTTCCAGAGTTCCCTACAGTCAGACAACAGCACTGGGAACTTAACCCTAAAAATGCTGCCTTCCACAGGGTACAAGTTGGGCTACGGCACAATCACCATCACAAGTCACACAGAGGAACGGGGAAAACGTGTTCAAGTTTGAGTTGAATACACTGAATAACATCCAGAGAAATGAACAGCACATTTCTTATCAACAGATCCCTTCTTTAGGCTCCCAGTACCTGGATGCCAGAGCACACTGCGGGGTTTTGCCTGAACTAGCCCCTCAAACATCAAGAACTGCATAAAAAGGTAAATGCCAGTGAGAGGAAGTGAGTGTAGAGTCTCTCCACTGTCTGAACCCTCCACTTGAGTTCACACCATCCTCCCCTTTCCCTGAGGGCACTGAGGAACTCCAGCACCTCTGGGGTAAGTCCTCTCTTGAATAAGTTTCTCAACTTAAAGAATTTCTGTTTCCTTTTAACAGTGACCCTTGCTATTAAGTTCCTAATACTTCTAAATGAGAACCATGAGGATCTTGTGGTGATAATGACTTGCTAGCAAGTGTCAGCACACAAATGTGTAAACCCCTCTCAGATCCAAGCCAAAATGCACTGAACTATCACAATTCCCCATCCCACTGCACAGCTCAGGTGATTTCCAGATATCAAATCCATGGAGAACAGCAGGTGTGCATCTACAGCCATGTGTTAATTTATTCTCTTGCCAGCCCAGCCCCTTGTGCTCAAGGGCAAAGGAGAAGTGAGGGGAAAAGTGATGGTATCACTGGGATGGAAAGATTTTTGGTTGGTGAAATCAAGAGAGCTACAAAAACAGCTTTGTGAAATCCTGTATTTATAGAGTTTTCCAACTATTACCCTCAAGTTTGCTTTTACAGCAACAGGAGACTCCTTGTGCAAAGGTGGTTTTGTCACTGTGGAGGGTTTCTTGCCCATTAATAAAACCATTTGGACATTACTAAAAAAGCACAAAAAGCAGCAATACTTGAGCAGGAAAATTAGGGTTTTAGGTGCAGGTTATGTACCTACAGTTCTCAGGAGAGTCCAAAGCAGCTGCTGGATATTCTGTACCTTCCTGGATCTGACTTTTCATAATATCAGTGTAATCAAAGCAAGATCAAATGAAAAAAAAAATCAGATCAAATGGAGGGCACAGCATATGATTAAGGGTGTGAATTCACTATAGTTCCTTTTAATTGAAGGAAATGTTAATTATACTCAAGTCTGCTGTTTGGCCATTTATCCCTGTCCCAGGTAAAGACAAAGACAGGGAGGCAGGGCTGCTCATTTCCAGGCTAAGCTCAGCAAAACTGTTCCTGCTGTTAACTTCTGACACAGAGTGCTCAAACAAAGATTAAACCCGACACAGTTTACTTCAAAAGCAAATTCTAATCCACTTCCCAGAGGCTGCTTTTCCTAACTCGATATCTGGCTTCAATAAACAACTAAAAATAGCAGCTCCACGGAGGGAGTGAACAGACACAGACCCGCTTTGCTGCTCTCAAAAAGCAGTAATTCCCATGAAACTGAGCTTGCCCTCACATTCCCTGCCAGGCAGAGGGGAAACTTCTCCCCTTCTGCCAAGAAGGTGGATCAGTCAGCAGAGCCACGCTGGGCCACGCTCCCGGGAGCACAAAGGCACCACGAGCTCCAAATCCAACAGGCTGCACAGGCCAAGGAGTAACAGGACTCTTGTAAACTTCCTCTGTAGGACTAAGAGGTTTACTCTGCTCCAGAGCCAAGTGGACTTGTTTAAACCAGCCCAGCTACTTTTAACCATTCCACTGCTGGTGACAAAATGAGAGTTTTTAAACTGGTTTTTTTTTTTCCCCCCTTAATCTCTTCAGCTTAGTTCCCACTGCATCCACAGGGACCTGTGTTCCAAGAGGATGCAGTTCCAAGGTCTCCCTGTCTATTCAAACCAAGAAATCCATCCCAAAATACTCTACTCCAAAGACCTAGTCCCATGACAATGTTTTCCCGGAAGAAGAAATAATTCCGTGGTATCTGTAACCCAACGCACAAATATTAAATCACAGATAAACCAGGAATCACCGACACCTCTGACCCAACATGTGACACTAGATTTGTCGTTTGAGACCCTTCAAGTTCATATCTCAAATTACTTTCCTGTCTACTTAAAAAAAAAAAAAAAAAAATGTAGGAAGAGCCACAGACAGAGCTACGGTAACACCAGGCCACTTCACCAACAGCTATCTAATCCAGCTGATGGGAAACATAACCAGTGGTATTGGAGAGATTCCCCAAAAGCTAAACAATTCCCAACACAGATCTTAAGTCAGCCTACTTTGCTTCTTCATCTTCATTCCTCTCTGTTTGTCCAATAAAATCTACTACTTTTGTGTGGTTATTCACAACTGGGGCCTAAAAATAAAAGGTTTGTTGGGGGGGCTTTGCTTTTTGGGTTTGTTTGGGTTTTTTTTTCCATTTAGCTTTTAAAAACATGACAGCTAATGACTCCCAACTACAGAGCAGTTTAGCAGACTAACTTAACTACTGGTCAGATTCCAGTGGAAGTGATTATATTCTGCCTCCTAGAATGTGCAGTTAAACCTCCTCATGCTCCTTTATTCCCTTTCAGCACTAAAGGCTTCACACAACCCCGCTGCTGAACTGCTGCTGCATTCCAGCCTCTGCTCGTGTTCCAGTGGGACACTGGGACCAAACCCTTGCTGGGGAGCCACTGAGCCCCGTCCCAGCTCACCTGTGTTGACTGGATCACCGTGAGGTCGTTGATGTAGCAGAACCCCGCTCCCATGGCCGAGCGGAGCCCGGCGGTGCCGAAGCTCAGCCGGCAGCACAGGCGGTCCCGCAGCTCCTTGTGCTTCCCATCCTGCAGCAAGCTCTCGATCTGCTCCTTTGTCTTTTGGTTCTGCAAAAGGAGAGTGAGGTCTTCATTTAGTGCTCGAAATCAGGAACTGAACTACGTGCACTTATTGGTTTTAGGTAATTCCAAGTGTAAGTTGGTCCTATCCTATAAAATGCCAACTGGCCTTCACTCAACTCATTTTTATCGTGTTCTCTTTCCCATCTCATCCTTATTAATAATAGATTCCAGAGCTCTTGCTCTGGAAACTGATATGTTTGCCTGGCCATTATTACACCTCCCAGCTACACAAAGCCTGTGAGTGGCGAGCACAGAGACCTTGGAACCGGTTTTTCCAAGGCGGGTAACACAACTCAGTCTTTCATCTGCGCTGTTGGAAGACAGACAAATATCAACTGCAGAGCAACAGTTTCCTTCCTCCCCACCCACAGGAAAGGTCTGTACAGAGGCACAGTAAAATCATGGAATCCCAGGATCGTTTGGGCTGGGAGGGAATTTAAGGATCATCCACTTCCACCCTTGTGCCACAGACAGGGACATCTTCCACCCAGCCCCATCCAGCTCCACACAGTGTGACAGGCTGGATTCTGATCCAGAGTGATCCCTCTGCTCATTCAGGCCTTCCCTAAACTTCCACAACAGCTGAAAACTTCCAAGTGTACAAACTGCACGTTGCACACACCCAACTATCTGCTCTTCATAGTTATCCAACCCATCCTGAATTCACTCGCTCACCGGGAAATCCACACCCAGGTGGGACAAAACACTTCCCAGATCCTGTAAACACAGTGCAGGAGGAGGCAGTGGACACATAGCTGGAAAAAAGAAAACACAATTCCAGAAGTATAAAACACAGCTCAAGTGGCACAAGTGCTTCTCCAAAGCAGGGTCCCAAGGAAGGGTTAAAAAAAAGGCCACTGGAATCTGCAGGGCAAGGGTGAAGCACCCCTGACATTTAAAGTAGAGGTCAGCCAGCTCCAGCAGCACCAGGACACACAGCTCTGCACAGAGAGGGGGAGCTTCTTCAGGAGGGTTGGGGAAATGCTGGGAAAAGCACGGGGATAGCAGCTGCACACACCCACCACGAGGAAAAACCACAAGGAAAAGCTCGCTGAAAAATCTGAAATTATTCCCGCAGCTCGGTAACAGACCCTGAACACCAGACACGGGAATTTAAGATTAATCTTCGTTCCTTTGTGCCTTAAAATAAAAGGCATTACTGTCCATGCTCTTGGATGGCTCAGCAAATAAAGCAAAACACTGCTGGCAACACAGCTAAAGCCAGGCCTAAATAGAAACCAAAACAATGGGGCACAACAAATATTAAACCACAGGAGTGAAGGTTCCTCTTTTAGTTGCTCCCAGGCAGCCAAGCAGAAAACAAATGACTGATCTGAAAAGAGTCTAAGTAAAAAAAACACCTCATTTCACACTATCATACTACATGGTTTTGCTTTAAAAAAAATCAGGTTATTAAATTACACAGCATCTTTGATAGCTTTTCAGGACACGCTGCATTGCTTCCCTGCAAAAAAAAAAAAAAACCCAGGATAAAAATTGTACATTGCAGAGTTTATGGAGCTTTGCAAAATAGAGGCAAGATGTCCCTGAAGCAACAAAGCACGTAAGTTTATTTTACAAATAGATTAAAAAGCATTTTTGATTGAAGCTGTTTGATTTGTTTCCTAAGGAATCAAAGTGAGCCAGCCAAAACAGCACCCAAATAACATTTTAATTTCCTCAGTTAAGCTAAAGTTGGATAAAAAGAAGAGAGGAAAGAAAAATAAAAATTACAAGTGAAAACCTCCAATCTTTCCCCAGATGATCTGAAGCTCCTGGGCCAGCAGAAAGAGACCACTTTACAAGACTTGGCATCAAGTCAGATGTGCTGATGATCAGTGTCATGCTCTGGGTTACACACCCAGTAGCATTAGAAGCCTGACCTCCAGACAGCCCTTATCCCAACCTGCCACAATCCCTACTGCTTTTACTCTTCCCAGCTTGTCTTTTTTTTTTTACTCTAAGTTGGAGTTTCAAAGCCCCTTGGCTCAGTTTCTTGCAACACCCTGGCTGGGTATGAGCAGCATTTGCCACCCTGGGAACTTTCAGAACAGCTCCCACTGCTGACATTTAACCCCATTGCAAATCCTGGGGAAAAAAAAAACAAAACAAACAAACAAACAACCCAAACCCAAGATTTTTTTGCTGGTTTGCTTTGCAGTTATGAAATGGAGCCACACAACTGAAGGTCTCACAGTGGCTTTTATGAGGGTTCATTTTTTTGAGTGTAACAGTTGATGGAATCACTCAGGTTGGAAAAGCCCTCCAAGGTGATGGAGTCCAGCCACAGAAAACCAAGGCCACCACTGACCCATGTCCCCAAGTGCCACATCCACACAGGCGTGGGGACTTCACCCCTGCCCTGGGCAGGACAACCCTTTGGGGGAAGAAAATACCCCTTATATCCAACCTAAACCTCCCCTGGCACTACGTGAGGCCTTTCCCTCTTCTCCCCTTACTTGGGTAAGCAAAAGAAGTTCCTTAGAGATTTCAGACTCCAGTCCTCAGATGACTTTTAGTATCCTTAAAAAAGCCCCAACATGAAACAACCGAGATCTTCCTGTCTTAAGCAAAAATAAACCAGGCTGTTGAATACAAAAATAGGCATTGCTTTAAAGAAAAAGCAATGCTCTAAGATACCCCTGAATCCCCAGTGGCTCCAAGAAAACAATTTAAATTCTCGTGGATTGAGTGGTCTGCAGAGTAAACAGGTTTTTAGGGAGACACAGACCCTTCAAAGCCCCACATTGCTGCTGGTTTTCCAAGCAGTTTTTACAGGTGGAAAAAGCACCTGGCAGAGAGCAGGGTCCTTGGAGTCCACAGGGACTTCCACAGGGGAAAAGAGAAGGGAAGAGGGAAGCTCTGCTGCCAAACAGCTTTCCCAAAAATCAGCCTACAGCCCTCCCAGCACAGGGACCCACCCCCTGCACACACACACTGTAAACACAAATAGAAGTGAACACACAAATAGAAATATACATATCAATCTATAAAACTACTTCTAAGTATGTATATTTCTATATATATAGTTGTACTTGTGTCTATTTCTATATATATTTTGATAATACTTGTGTATATTTCTATATTGATCTAAGTAATATCAATACTTATATATATATCACATGTATTGATATGTAAGTACATGAATATATAAGTATATATAGGCATCTACAGGTATGTGTAATTATAAATGTATATAAAAATACATGTAAATGTGCAAGCAATATACCTGTAAACATACAAGTGAATGCATAAATATATCTGAATGTATGAACACAAAATTATGATATAAATATGTACACTTACAAATACGTAATACAAAATATTAAAATATTATATACATATACATTTATAGTATTTATATCTATGTCACAATCTGCTGAGTTGGAAGGGACCCACAAAGGATCACCAAGTCCAACCCCTGGCCCTGCACAGGATCATCCCCACAAATCACACCATGATTATATTAAAAATGAAAAACCTAAATAAATAAAAATTACATATACATATAAAAAATACAATCTATAAAGGTCAGTGGGAGGACAAAGCAGCAATCAAGAGCCAACAGATGCCATCCCTCCTGCTCCCAGAGCACAAGGGGTCCTGCCCTTGCCTGTGCAAGGAGGTGGCAGATAAGGGGACAGGGGCAGGAGGGCCCTGGGAGGAGCTTTTGTGGTACCTCAACATGCCCTGCTGGGGCCAGAAAAAGGTCAGGGAGGGAAACAGAGGCCTTTGGCTGGGGTTTGCACTAGAGGTGGCTTTGGCAGGGGATTCCTCCTCCTCCTCAAGCACAGCCCATCCTCACTGCATTCAACTTGGTGTCCCTCCCCGCTGGTGCATTCCCCAGCCCTGGACTGTCCCCCTCAGCAGCAGCTCCGCCCTCACCCAATTCCCAACCTGTCAGCACCAAAAAACGTGCTGTGAGTGCCCTCAGACACCTCAGCCCACCAGTTCAAGATGTCAACTCGCTAAACATCCCTCATTTCTCAGCAGTTTTGAGGCCATTCAACACCTGGGCAGTGAAGAACAACCAGAGCCCAGGCCACGTTTGCCCATCCCATTCCAAGCTGACTCTTTCAGTCACACCAACACCAGGAAAAAAAAGGACAGTTCTGCATTATTCTTTTCCCCACAAAATGATTCCACTAACATATAAACAAGCCATCTCCATGAAGTTAGCACTACACCCTGATAAAATGTGGGTTTGCCAGTCACCTGCGCTGTTTCTGACTCCAGTTCTCTGACAGCAACTCCACAAAGCCTCTTTCAGTGGTGCTCCAGGGTTAAAAACTTGGAAGAGGCTATTAAGGTTTTTAAAAAGAAGGAAGGGGGCTGAGCCTGCTGGCAGACATACTTTAAACAAAATGTCAGATATACTTTAGACAACTGCTCATGAAAATTTACTGCCAGAATCAGAATCACAACCTGCAGGAGACCAACATAGCTGTTGAGGCTCTGCAAGAAGGCTGGAAGTTTTATTAAATATATATATATATTCTCTACTAAATTCAGTGTTATGCTCCCACATTTTCAGTTTCCCATTCCCATTTCTTTGTAGCTCATCAGGATACAACACTGGAAACAACTGGAGAATTAAAGACAAGGCCATCAGCTGAGTATTCCTTACAGGTTCTTTCACTCCCAATCACCTTAATCGTGTGTACTTAGTGCCAGAGTTACGTTTCACAGCTAATACCCTGTCAAAATAAGTGGCAATTCACTACCCTCAGCCATTATTTTTTTTTATTCTGCAGGCACTTTTAGCCTGGAGGAAGCAAAAAACGATCTCAAGTTTGCTTAGAATTAAGCAAATCTGACAGCCACAAATTAAGTGCATCAAGCTTTGCTAGCCTTTGGTTTTTAAGCAAAAATTAAGATTTTTTTTTTTCCCCCCAAGTAAAATCAGGTTCAGTCCCTCAGAACACATCAGAGTATCTGTAAGGAATTCCTAGTGCAGGGAAAGGGAACATGGCATAGCTAATCACCTTAATTACACAATTAAGACCAGCAGTGGCACCTGCATCGTGTTGTCATTTATAATTTCTCTTAGAAACTGTATGTTCTCACTTCTTGTTAGGAAAGAAATGTTCTCCTAGTGAGCAACCTCTTGACCATTTTTATGTGAAAAATCACTCAACTAACTGCACCACTTTTATCTTGGCCCAAGAAACAGAAACACCCCCCCCTCTTAGAAAGTGCCTCTTTTACACTCATTTCCACACTTTTTAGCTAAACTAGACTGAAAATACACAAGGCAAGCCTAAATGCTCAAGTCTTGTTTCTAATACCTGAAAGTCAGGTGTGGAAACACTGGCCAGGGATGCCCTTTCTTGCAGCCACAGTTTATTTATCACTCGATTTAAATCAACCAATAGAGACAACGATGCCACAAAGTGCAAGTTCCAAGGCCATCCTGATGGATTTCAGCGAATTTAATGTCTCAGAATAGGTACTAAAGCACAAGAGTTGTGTTATTTGAGAGCTCACCCCATTCCAAGTTGCTCCCACTAACACTGGTTGTACCAACAGGATTCTGCCCCAGTCTACCCAAAACCAGCTACTTCAGTAATTCATAACTTTATCTTTTATGTTTTAGCATCAGAACTTGCAGTGCACACGTGCAGGTAATATGAATTTTTCAGGGGCCTATTCCTAAACTTGATTTTCCCCGTTTTCACTCTTAAAAAGTTGACTTAAAAATCTCAATAAGAACAAACACTGCCAAGTCAAATGACTGGAGGAAGTTCCTGGAAGTCCATTTCCAGATGAAAGGCACCTCAAAAGCCACAACAATTAAAAGAACACTGAGGGACACCCCAGAAGCACCTCAATATTAACCAAGCCACCTTATGAGCAAGCAAGGAGCTCTCCAAGCTACACCTCAGACAATGACACTGAGTCCATGAAATAAAATGAAGTAAAACTGAGCAAAATTAGTCCAATAAAATGAGTGCAGTGAACAGGACCTGCACAAACTGGAGGACTAATTCCAGTTTTTTCACCCCACCGTGGGATGTTCTAACTGTGCCTTTGTAAAAGCCAAAGCATCCCCTTCTCCCAGGCACATCCACCACCACCCGGGAGCTGTCTGGGAACAAAGGCCACAACCCAGACCCCTTCGGGGGACTGGAAAGTCCACCAGGACAATTAGGAAGCGGATGAAAGTGAATTAAAAGCGTAAGAAGCCCGAACAATGACTGGCTGTTGGCGCAGTTCACCAAAAGAGGTTCCCGAACAAAAGGCTTTGTGCCTTCCCAGACAAAAAGCAAACGCTCGCAGCAATTAAGGAGAGGGAGTGGGAAAAGCAGGGAGAACGCCAGCGGCATTAATGGAGGTGCAGGATGCTGGGGAGAAGGGGAGGAAAGCGGAGGGATCACCACATGGGCCAGGTTTCCCCCCCCACCCTCCATGGGCACATCCCCGATGACGATGAGCACGGCCCTGACAATTAATTAATTACAGCGAGCAACTTTCAATCAAAACCCCAGGACAAAAAGCCTCCCGCAGCTGGGAATGTGGTGCATAGATTTTCCCTTGATCAGAGGTGGCAAGGTAAAAAAAAAAAAAAAAAAAGTCCAGGAAGCTCAAAGAGCTGGGAGTGGGAAGGGAGGGAGGCACAGAAAGCTCCTCGTAAAGCTAGATAAGCAATAAACCTCCAAGGCCTCATTTCCCACGAAATACAAGGCCATTGGACCAATAACCCCTCTCATGCCCTATTTCCAGGAGTCTCTTTGCCTTCCCATCCCAAAACACCTTCACCCGGTTTGTTTACACCCTCCCCAGGCGATTTTGAGTTGTCAAATCTCCCAGCAGCTCTCTTGGAAATCTCTTAAGTAGCTCCAATTCTCCAAGTTCCTTACAGGATATTTAATGATTATCAGCTAGGGGAGCAGGGCAAACAGGTGCAGTCGAACTGACTCCGCAGTTTGTGTTTTATTGCCTAATTATGGCCTTGCAAGGAGCTCTAGAAACGATATTGCACTTTCCCTGCTTTTAATCAAAATATTTTTCCCCACTCGAAGTTCTGCCTTACAGGAAAAACACACAATAATCAGTTAGAAAATCCAAACAAGCAAAAAACCTTTGCAAAACACTAACCAGAAGTCAGCTAAAAAGAAAAATATAAATATTCGCTGGAGCTCAATCTGGGCTATCAAGCGTACGATCAGCAATGCCATTCCCCTTCTCCACTCCTTCCCTGCCACCATTCCCGGATATTTTCACAGCAGCAGTTCCCAGAGCAGAAGGTGCAGATGGCAACTGTTAATTCCTGCAAAACCGAGAGGGGAGAGCTCATCTCAGAGCCATCAGGTGGGGTCTGCTCTCAGCCCCTCCTGCTTTGATCCCTGGCAGGATGAAATTAAAGGGGGAAACGCCATAAACACACTGGAAATCGCTACCACTAAAGAAACAAAACTTAAAACAAACAAACAAACAAAAAGAATCAAGAGACAGAAACCCAAAATTAAAAAAATAGGGAAAAAATAAGTCATAAGCCCAAACCCCTGGGGTGTACTGTTAGTTTACCCTCCTCCAAGATGTTTTTTAAAGCACGGGGTATAATGGTCGACCAAACCCGCTGCAAAAAGACACCCTAAAATAACCCTTTCAACACTGAGATGAGCAAAAAAACAACCTCCAGCACCACTTCGTTTTTCATTGCTCCGGATGGTTCGATCCGAATTAATCGAGCCCGCAGCGCTCTCGAAACACCACGTCGGAGCTGGGAAAGGGAACGCGCCGGAATTTGGGACCCTCGGCGGCCTATTTGTTTCCTGGGGAGAGGGGGTTAAATTTGGGAGGCTGAGGAAAAAAAAAAAAAAAAAAGAAAAAAAAACACACCAAAACCAGGATTACGCATTGCGAGGAAAAACGGGCTCCGCGTTTTAAGCCGCCCCCGGCACCGGGTTCCACCTTGATCCTTAGGGATGAGCCAGCCCCGCGATGGGCGCAGCATCACCTTCCCCGTCTCGCAGGTGAGGAATTCCGCAGGCAGGGATCTGGCCGGATCCAGAGGGTTTATTTGTTTGTTTGTTTGTTTGTTTTCCAGCGGCAGGGAGGGAGAAGTGATCAAACCGCGGGCAGGATGGGATGGAGACGCAATTCCCGACGGCGCACACATCACCCCCGGGAAAGGTGGGGGAGCCCCCGGGGAGGAGGAGGAGGAGGAGGGAGGGGGTGGATTGTTGGGAGGGTCTCCCCCCGGTCACCCACCTTGTCCCAGCTCAGCCACTGCCACACCGCCTTGTCCAGCTGCGCGTCCCCGGTGCTGCGGGCCACCAGCACGTTGGAATTCACGTCCCCGGGGGCTCCGCAGTCGCCCATGGTCGAGGAAAACGAGGAAAAAAAAAAAAAACAAAACCTCTTCTTCACTTCGTCACGCCCGCGGCGGCAACGCGCATCGCGCGGGGCGGGGAGAATATAGAGGCAGAAAGCGTAGGAGATGAGCGCTAGGAGGGTACTCGCGAGGGTGGTTTTTATCCGCGATTAAAGAGGTGCGACCGCCTCCTCCACCCTCCTCCTCCTCCTCCTCCTCCTCCTCCCGGTGCCGCCCCCGAGACACAGCCCCGCACACGCCCCTCCCCGCGGGGCACCATGGGAAATGTAGTCCATAGGCGGCCGAGGAGCCGCGGAGAGAAAGGGGTGTTGGGTGAGAAGAAACTACAACTCCCATCGGCCCCCGCGCCGCGCGGCGCCTCAGGGAGAAGGGAAGGACGGGCAGGGCGGAGGGGCCGGGAGTTCGAGTCCCGCCCCCTGCCTGATGTGGAAAACAACGGGCCGTGTGTCCGTCGCTGCCCTGCCGAACAGGCAGTGCCTGAGGCCTCGGTGATGGATCCGAGGGAATGCTAAAACTCTCCCTGCTTGCGCCCGTCGGGCTGCCCAGAGCATTATCTGTTCCCTCTGAGTGGATAATGGACGCGGTGCTGCCCCGCGGGATGAGCTCCTTGCTCTAAAGCGCTTCCATATGGGCTTCAGGAGCACTTCCACTGCCATTAGAAAGAGCATCATAGCCCGCAACTCCCCTCCCTTGGCTACATCGGCGCTAATTGGATTGCCTGGCCCGGAGCAGTAGGGGCGGGGTGACCATATCCTGCTGAGCATCCTCATCCCAGGCAGCATCCCCATCCCACAGAGCATCCCTATGGGAGACAGCATCCTCATCCCAGACAGCATCCCCATCCCACAGAGCATCCCTATGTGAGACAGCATCCTCATCCCAGGCAGCATCCTCATCCCAGACAGCATCCCCATCCCACAGAGCATCCTCACCAGCCTCACATCCTCGCAGCAGTTGCCATAGTGACAGCAGGCACTGCAGAGAGACAGAATCCTGGAATCACAGAACGCTTTGGCTTGGAAGGGAACTTAAAGCTCACCCAGTTCCAGGTCCCTGCCAGGGACACCTTCCACTATCACAGGTTGCTCCAAGCTCTGTCTGACCTGGACACTTCTGGGGTACCCAAAGCACAGCAAAGTGCTGAAAACTGTAAATATAGAAGGGAATGATCCACCATAGCTTAGAAAGCTCAATATAACATCTCTCCTCTTCAGAGTTCTCAGAGTCCATGCCCTGAAGGGAACTCTCTCCTGTCTGCACACACAAACAAACCCTCCAGTCCAGAGGTCTGGCTGGGTGTGGGGGGGGGATAAACCTTTTGATTGGTCTGTTACAGTAAATTACTGATAGAAGTCAACAGAAGACAAAGATAAGAAGAAGGAAGTAGGTCACCCTAAGTCAGAACTTTCTTTTAAGTCCCCTTATATCCCTGTTTCTGATACAGAGAAGGAGAAGAATCTGGACACTGATAGAGTGAGGAAATCAGGTGTAATAATTCCTTCTCGTACATCTGGTGGCAGCACTGACACCACCCTGAGCCCAGCACTCCCATGAAACCACGTCCCTGGCAAGTTTCTCCACATCTCAGTGCTTTCCATGCCTTTGCTGCTCTTTTCTCCTTCTCTGTTTTGTTTTCAAAGAGAGAAGGCCAGAGCCAGGATAACAGGAGCTCCAGCCTTTAAAACCTTAGTTTCCCCCTCCAAAAAAGAGGATAATGACTGTGTTAAACACCTGTCCAAAGAGCATTTCCTACAAAAAAGTTTGGAAAGGCCATAAGAGATGTTGTTAAAATAAAAATTCATCCTTCAAATCCTTCAATTCTTGCCTTTTTTTTTTTTTTTTTTTTTTTAATATGTTTTCCCCCAAGGAAAGCTTTAAAATATCCTGAAGGGTGGAGGGTTTTTTTGCCATCTGAGCATCTTTCTGTCTGTGAAACCTTGAACCTCACAAGGTGGTTTCACTCCGGCCACTCACCCTGCGTTATCAGCGCTCAGCTACGGAACCGGAATTAAAAGCAGGATCTTCCCTTAGGATATCCAGATGGGAGAATCATCCTTCCCTCAGATGCCAGTGCTCCTCCTTGATTATTACCCCGGAGAACAGGCCAAGCAGCCTCACAGAGGATAAAAATCCTCAGCAGTTGTTTCTTTACCAGGAATAACTGCGGTGCGGAGGGTTGGAAATTCCTTGGGATCTCACCAGCGCTGGGAAGTGATGATATTAGCTTCCAAACATCTCCCTGTGAGGAGGCTTTGGAGAGCTGTCTCTGAGGCAGCCTGAGCAGCTCCAGAGCAGGGCAATCATGTAAAGAGATGATGTTGATACGGCTCAGATCGTGCTGACGGAGATTTGCCGCGTTGGCCTGGAGGAAACACCGACCTCGTGCGAGATGGCAACTGAGTCCAGTGCATCTGAGGGTTAATCAGCCTCCTGAGGAATTTTTGAAGCTGATCATCCCGCTCCAGGAAAAGTCAAACAGAGTCCCATCTGCTGGCATGGCCGGGCTGTGAGGCACAACACGGCTCCCCCAGGCACACGGGAGGGATTGCAGGGGCCTCCCCACGCTCACTGTCTGCCAGCACAAACATCTCTTTCCATCTACTGCTAACAGCAACATTTCTAGTCCTCACGGCCGTGGAAGGAAGCCAGAAAATAGGAGATTAATCTGGGAGTGAAGGAAAGCCAGCGTTTCTAATTGTTCGGCCTCGTGCAGCGTTTCTCCTGAGTGAGGCACAGCACGCCCAGAGCAAACTGAGCAGCAGGAAACGACCCAAGGACCAAAAACCACGGGAGAGGCCACGCTGCCAGCCGTGGATACGAGCCAGGCTGGGAGGAAAAGTGCTGCCAGGCTGCTGAGAGCTGCCAGGGCCAACAGGGACCGCGGCAGGGCTCAGCTGGAGGGAATGACTTCTCCCGAGCCAAAAGGAGCGGGAGCACCCACTCAGGACTGGGTGTGACTGTGTGTGAGCATTGCTCCACATTCCAGGAAAAAGCCCTGCTCTCTGCCTGCTGGGATCAAACCCAGAGTTCCCCATTTGGTTGGATAACCTCGTTCTAGTTTCACCCTCCTGCCTTGGGCAGGGACACCTCCCATTGTCCTGCGTTGCTCCAAGCACCGTCCAACCTGGACTTGGTCACTTCCATGGATGGGGCAGCCACAGCTTCTCTGGGCAACCTGTGCCAGGGCCTCGCCACCCTCACAGGGAAGAATCCCTTCCCAATATCCCATCTAACTCTGCCCTTTGGCAGTGGGAAGCCATTCCCCCTTGTCCTGTCACTCTGGTCCCCTGTTTCTCTCCATCTTTCTTGCAGGCTCCCTGCAGGTCCTGGAAGGGATAATTGGGTTTCCCCAAAGCTGCCTTTTCTCCAGGCTGAACAATCCCAATCTCCCAGCCTTTCCTCCCAGCAGAGCTGCTCCATCCCTCTGATCATCTTGGTGCCTCCTCTGGACTCCCTCCATCAGCTCCACGTCCTCCCTGTGCTGTTCCCCAGGGCTGGAGGCAGCTCTGCAGGGGGGTCTCATCTGAGGGGGCAGAGGGGCAGAATCCCCTCCTCTGACCTGCTGCCCATGCTGTGGGATCAGCCCAGAAGAAGGGCTAAGCCAACCTCAGAATTAAAAACCTCTGTCCCCTGCCATCAGCATCCTCAGGGATCTGGTTCCACAGCCAAATCCTCGCCCACAACAAGCTGGATCAGCCCCGTGATCACAGAGCTGCCGCAGAACCCGGTCTGGGCAGCGTTTCCATGGCGATTTTACCACATACAGTTTATCCCACATCGCCTAGAAACAGCCCAGGGCTCCCACGATATTCCAGGTTGCTTTTCTGCTCCCGGTTTTTGCAGTGAGACGGGGGATGAATCCAGAGCATCCTTCCATCCCGGCAGGCTCCCGTGCACACCCTTCAGCACATCTTTTGTTTCATTATTCCTGAACACCCTGTTTGTTCTCGGGGCCTCTTGGGTTACCTGCTAATGACACAGCAACTCGCAGCCTTTCCCTTCCCTCACAGAGCCCTGGATTGCCAGGAATGCCCCAGGCAAGGAGCAAGGACGTCCCTCCAGCTGACGGTGCTGTCACCACCGGGGAGGGGCCGGTGCCTTTTGGGCTGGAATGGTGTTTTTTAATCAGCTCTGGGGTCACAGCAGGCAGAAGAGCTTTGTCCTGAAGGCAGAGCATGAGGACAGGGAACAGGCTGGCAGGTGGGAGGGATGCAGCAGGGACCGCTGGGATTTGGAAATGGCTTTAGGTAAATGGCTTCTGAAATTCTGCAGCTGCCCTTGGCAGCCTTGGGAAGGCCTGATCCTGCACCCTCTGGCTCTGGCAATGATCTACTTGGCTTTCTCAGGAGCACAACACCCTAAATACTCCTGCTTTTAAAGCAGTTTGTAACGTGCAGCTCAGAGTCACTGGAGAAACCTCTGCTCTCATCCCAAAGGAAGGGCAGGAACAGCTTTCCTCAGCATTCCCACAGTCTCAGCCCTCTGATTCATGGGTTCCATCACAACCAACAAATGCAGAGGGCGGGATCTTTTCTAAATTTGGAGTGAAAACCACACCACAATTCCAGTCCTGCTCATGAGCACACATCCAAGGCATCAGCCCCAAGCCAGCAAGCAGAGAGGAGCTCAGATTTATCACCTCTTCCCACCCTTATCCCTCTGGAGTAGGCACTGATCCAGCTTGCCACATCCTCCTTGGGGCACAAGCTCCCTCCAGAGCTGCTGTTTCACTTGGGGGAATTTCAGCACCTCCTGCTCACCCTCAGGACCCCCAGGAAGCTGCCTATGGCCACCAAGCCCCTCAGTTATCAACGCCTGTCCTTTACCAACCAGAAACCAAACACAGACCTGGTTATTTTTAACCCTCCCCTCTGGGTGTTAAACAGCCCCTGTGTGTGTGCTCTGCAGGCACATCCATCTGCAGAAAGGAGATGTGATGGGCCCCTTTGCTCTGGGCCTTTCACCCCAGTTCATCCCGAAGTTGTGTGGAACAGGGAAATTTGGTACTGGAAAGGTCTGAATGCTGCATTTCCCCCCCTCCTTTTTTTTTTTTTTTTTTTTTTTTAATTTTATTTTTAATAAAAAGCTTGTAAAATGACTTCTGTGTGTTAGGCAGGAGCAGGAGCTGTGAAGCAGCGAACACCACTCCTGCCTCAGGGAAGAAGGAGGGGTTTGTGCCGAGCATCCTCTGGAGAAGAGCGGCCGGGATGCAGTGCTCCCTCTGCCGCCACAGGGATGCATCCAGCCAGCCTCGCAGAGGGGCTGGAGGGGGCAGCCTCAGACCGACAGAACATCGACAGGGGCAAAATAAACACTTTTCACTCCCGAACATAACTGGTTTGGTTTCTCACGTCTTTACCTAAAGCATCTGACGGTAGCCTGGGGCGAGGGAGGTGACTCAGAAAACGGAGGAAAAGAGGCATGGAGAACTTCGAGGAACTGACTCTGTGTGGCAATTCCTGCAGAGCTTCCAAATGGGTCACGTTCTTTGATTTAAGGCACTTTTGTTTCTCTTGTCCCTGCTGCAACTTGGAAGATCGTTGTCTGGCATCCTCTGGAATCCAGGGGAAGATCCTCTGCAGCAGTGCAGGGATGCTGGACAGCCCTTTCCATGAAGAAATTTTCCTTCACATCCAACTTGAACCTTCCCTGGCACAACCTGGACATTCCCTCTCCTCCTGTCCCTTGTTCCCTGGGAGCAGAGCCCGAACCCCACCCCGGCTCCCCCCTCCTGTCAGGGAGTTGCAGAGCCAGAAGGTCCCCCCTGAGCCTCCTTTTCTCCAGGCTGAGCCCCCCAGCTCCCTCAGCTGCTCCTGCTGCTCCAGCCCCTTCCCAGCTCCGTTCCCTTCCCTGGACATGTTCCAGCCCCTCCAAGTCCTTCTTGGAGTGAAAGGCCCAAAACTGACCTCAGCATTCCCAAGATTAACTCTCCCCATCATCACCCCTGTCTCCCACAGGCTGCAAAGAAACATTCCTGGGGTGAGCCTGGCTCAGGACACTTGATGGGAGAGCAGTGGGCCCTTCCCAAGTCAACACCCCGCTCCTCCCCAGCATTCCCACGGGATTCCCACGGAGCACTGCCAGCCTTCCTGGAGAAGCAGCTCCCCCTGAACGCATGGGCTCAGTCATGCTGTGCCACCCATTCAAAACCAGTACAAACAGAAGCTGCCACCACAGGGATGCTGAGAAGCTGCAGGGGCAACCTTCCACCACTCACCATCTTCCCAATGAGCTCCATTCCCAAATCTTTTCCTGCCTGGTGGGTGCCTCAGCTGCAGTGCACGTGTGTGTGTGGGGAAGCCAAGTGCCAGGCACCAGCCTGGACCAGGGGCAGGGCCTGTGTGTGCCTGGGGCAGCACCAGGAACGAGTGGATGAGCACCAGCAAGGATCAGGTCAGACAAACCGGTGAGGGGGTGACATGTCCTGGGATGCTCTTTGATGTCTCAGAAAAAATCGGGCAGAAGAACCCGTGCTGTTGGTGGGGCGAGACCCACAGAGCTATACCAAGCCCTTTTTGACTTGTTTGGGGCTGGTTTGTTTGTTGGGGTTTTCTTTTGTTTTGTTTTGTGGTGGTTTTTGTTTTATTTCGGTTTGTTTGTGGTTTTTGTTTGTTTGTTTATTTGGGGTTTTGTTTGTGGTTTTGGTGGGTTTTTTTCGGATTTTTGTTGTTGTGGGGGGTTTTTTTGTACCTTTTTTTTTTTTTAGGGTACTTGTTTTTTACTTGTATACCAAGTTAAAATACGAAGTAATTTTTTTTTTTTTTAAAGAAGTTATGTTTTTAAGGACTGGAGCTGGAAAAGTCCCCCTCCAGCTCTTTGTGTCGCTACACGAGGTGTGACGGAGATGTGCCCCCGATGTATTTTGCGAAGGCTCCTCTCACAGCTCGGGTCGCGCTGCATCCTCAGCACAGAGCCCTGTCTTTGGTGGCCTCAGAGTTCCCTCTAGTGGGAGAGATCATCCGCGGACGGGAAAACTCCTCCAAGCGAGTCTTTCATTGAAATAATAACTCACCAGCGCTGTGTGTTTTCTCTCTCTGGGCTTTCTAACAGCGTTTTTGCTGTCCAGCAACCCAACTCCAGGTCTCCAGAAGTGACAACCACAGTATCCAAAGCTGTTCCAGGAGGAGATGATTCTGTGAGCATCTTCCTGCAGCACGCACAGACCGTGGTCTCTGGGAGAGGAGGTGGTGGAATGCACCGACAGAAGGAACCGGGCACTGGGTGTCAGTGCTTCCTCGCTCTCCCGGAGAAAGAGCTCTTGCAAAGGAGCAGGGCAGGGAATGTGGGTGTTCCCAAGTCTGTTCTCCACGCTGGGGATGGGTAAAAGCAGGTGCAGTGCTAGAGGGACCTTTAGAGCTCAGTCTCGAGTGATGTTTTAACCAAGAGTTGCTCGGCATTTGCAAGACAACCACTCCTTGCATCCTGAAAATCACGTGCTGATTCAGATTGTCTTGAAATCCGTCGTGTTGCAGGTTGCAAAGAGATCTTCAGCTCGGCATTCCTCAAACAAGAGTTTCCTGAGAATAAATGCTTATTAATATTTTTTTTTCAGTGAAATTATCTGTGGGTTTTTTTTTTTTAATGGGGTGTGCGTGATCTTCAGTTGTGGCTCTGATTGGAAGCCAACACTGCATTTGTATAAGCACAACAAAAGAAGAGATGAGTGAGTTTAACTACTCACTGCTTTTCATGGAAATGGAAATTGTACAGAGAAAATGTCCAGGCAACACCCACTGATGTTAAATCCGTTTAATACCAAACCTGCTTTTTCAGCAAAGTTTAAATTCAGGTGTCTTCCATTTTACACTGCTGTTCTAGAGGTGGAAAGCCAACCCAAATGCTTTCATTGGAATTTGTGTGACTGACTCTTAGCCATCCTTTTTTTTCTTTCCCTCTTAATTAATGGCAGCTTGGATCAGCTGTATCATATCCTTTGCCCTAAATCTGCACAGGTGTCACTGGTTAGTGGCTTAAATGGCCCTGCTTAAAAGAGGTCATTAAGCCAGATGAAATTAAACCAGAAAGGGAAAGATAGGAGAGTGTGTCCACCCAGAAGGCAGAGGGGGAAAAAAAAAAGAAAAAAGAATAGACCTAATTCCTGACATAAGGAATTTCAGATTGCCTCTTCCACCAGCGTGCAGGATGTATTACAGGTGAATAAATAAAAGGAGAGGAGCAAAGAACTCTCTAGAATTTAGGACAAGAGGTTGCTCTGCTTTCTCTCCTTCTCCCTGACTTCAAAGGCCCTGTCTTTCCAGAGAGTCTGTGCCACCTTGGCCACCCCAAGCTCCAGAGAAGGTAATGTTCAAAGAACTTTTGTAGAACTTTGATTGCTGAGCTGAGCTGAGCCATGTCCCCGTAAAAAGAAACAGTTGACATGAGAGTAGATAATGGGTCAGAAGGGGATTTTTGTGTCTTGTTCTCCTCTGAATAGGAAAAGATTTTGAGTCTTCTGCTATTGCTGGTCTGCCCAGAGCACTTTCCATTTTCCTTTGTCTGCCCTAAGGTTGCCTCTGGTCTTCACCTACTGCCTCAGTACTGTCCTTTCCCTGCTCAGCTCTGGTTTGCTCCCGTTCCTCCAAAGAATTTTCTTCTTTCTTCTTGAGGCTTCTCCAGCCCATTCAAGAAGCAGCAACACTTGTCTAAATACAGAACTCTTCCACCTCAGTAGGTGAGAGTTACTATAAAATAGCCCTAAATTTCCCCAAATGACCTTTTAATTTTTATTAAATAAAAACAGGGAGATGTCCCTTGGACTTCACTTCTTTTGTTGCTTTGATGGCAAAGTGCACTTTTGGGTAAATTTACTTTAAAATGTATGGTTCTCTGGGATTCCCTCTGAAATCCCCTCAACTCCAGTGAAGGCAGGTGAGCTCCGGACTCCAGGAACAGTTTAGACCTGTTTGGGGCAGCAGGGGCTTTCTGTTTTCACAGGTGAGAAAGGTACTGAGAGCAGAGGAACAGGCAAAGTTGACACAGGGTGAGCCCGGGATGACTTCGGGGAAGGTTCAAACACCACCCTGTTCCTTAGGACGGTTTAGGAGCAGCGCCCCAAATATTCCCACATATCTATATCTTAAATAAGAAAGTGTTTCTAGGCTTATGTGGGCTCCTGGCCACTACCTGGGCATCTTTTGTCAGTTAATTTTGGCAGGGGCTTGAAATTTTGACGTTCCCGTGAGCAACGATGGTTTAAATCAGCAGACCTTCCAAGGCTGTGTAAGATAAATATTGCATCTGGTATGAACAGCACATAAACATGTGTGTTTATGGAAGTATAAACAAGCAGGTATGAACAGCTAAGGAAACAGCAGACACTGAATGCTCTGTATTGCCTGCTGAGGATGCTGCTTCTAATTAATCACGTTGGGAAATGGGTGGCTTCTGTCAAGCCCGATAAAACTACAACAGAGACAACTTGTCAGTGGAGGATTCTGTGCTGTTAACAACAGGAAGATGGCAGAGATGGCCCTGTGCTGCTCCTGCTGCCCCTTTTCCTCTCCACCCAACAGGAAGGTAGCAGAAAAAGACCACTCCCAATGATATAAGAGGTTACAGAGTTAACTTTTTTTATCACCCATGAAGAGGAACTTGAAAGATCCAGGCCAGACCCCTTCAGTGCCCACAGCTTGCGAGTACAAAACTGGGTATGAAATCAACTTGTGTAATAAAATGACTTTCCCTTTCAATAAGTCCCTTTCTTTCACTGTTTTTTTCCCCCTGGTAATTTCCTAGAGACTAAAATCAGGAAAAAAAAAAAAAAGTGGTGTTTATCTGGGATAAGGATTCCAAAAAAACAGGTGTTGTTTGTTTATCTAGGATGAGGGTTCAGAGAAGAGGTGGAGTCTTGGTGTATTAACAACATTTTGTTGTTGACTATTGCTGAGTTGGTGACCCGCAGTTCTTATTATTTTTGTGGTAATTAAGAAAGAAATAATTTACCAGGTTTAGCAAAAGCTTGGTACGTTGTTGTGTGACTTCCAGTGAAGCCTTCCAATAAATAAGATCCAGAAAGGGATCTGGTCTGAAAAAAAAATCCCAAATACTTTTTGGAACACTCATTATTTAAAGTGCCGTATATGGCTGGTGAACATCACCACTCTTGGCCGTTATTATAAACTATTATCACTTGTTGTCATTATTACGTTATGTTCTGCTATTGGGTTCCAGTTTGAGTGTTTTATGACAGCACCCCTGAACAGAAGCCGGGGAAGGAAGTGCTTTGAACACAGAAGGAATTTCTCTGCTGTACACGGGAGTGAACCCCTAAATTTTTTTCTTAAGTTCAGGTTTACACTACTGATTTCCAGCAGCAGCAGCAGCGCGATTATCCATCCTGGAGAGCTGCTGGAACCGACTCAGTGCTGTCCCTGTGGATCACTCACTCACTTTTAGGACGTTTCCTGCTTTAAGCAAGAGGAATTCTTGGGGGTTTTTTTCGTTGTGTTTGTTTTTGGTTTTTTTTTTAGACTTCCAAGTCAAACTTGTAATTTGCTTTTATTCATAACCCTCGAGGCTGCGCTGGGTGAGTAAGGAGCTCTACCGGGACGCGTCACCGCTCCCCGCTCCATCGGGAATACCGCGATCCCACCGCTGGGACGAGGCGGGGGAAGGACGGGGAGAGTGCCGGGCACTCCCTTCCATCTCCCCCTCCTGCAGCCAGGCGCTTTCCCGCCAGTACCCATCCCTCTGGCCGCCTTCCTGGCTCTCATTCCCGGCTGGCATTCCCGGCTCCGAGGTGTGTTTCGGGGAGCGGGGGGCTCTGGGTATCGGTGCGGGGCGGGATGGGGAGGCTCAGCCTGGCATCGCCCCGGTGGCACCGGAGAGGATTCCCCCGGGGGAGCCTCTTCAAAGTTGAAAGCTTTCTGGAAGCGTTCGGAGAGGGAAGCGGTGGAGGAGCAGTTTGGAAGGCGCAGGGGGCACGGGAGGTGGTCTGGGGAGAGCCCCCCGAAGGGCGGATTGGGAAGGGAGGGCACAGTGAAGGATGGAAAGATTCGCGCTTTGCTTGCCCCCAGACAGAGTCTTGAACGCCTTTCTCCCCTTTCTTCTGATATCTTGTGGGTTTTGTTTGTTTGTTTGGTTTTTGTTGTTGTTTTTGTTATTTGTAGGGAGTTTGTGAGTGGGGTTTTTTTTTGTATGTGTCTTTTTTTTATTATTATTTTTAAATTATTGGACGTGTGACCCTAAGGACTTTCTTTTTTTCCTTTGGTACCCCATATATAGCTACACGGTATAGCCTTGTTCTTCATCGTGTGAAGCCTTTTACCTACCCCATCTGTGCGTGATGGTGCATTAAGGGCTTTAAGAGGTGCCCCAAAGCGGTGACACATAGAAGGCTGGAGTTGAAAACTCTGCTTGCCTGCAGGTGTGGCGCGTCTTTCACTGCTTTATAAACACTTCTTGACCTCGATATTTTCTGCTGGCCATGCTGGCCCTTGATTTCTGCTTGCTTTTAGGAATATCTGTCTGAATTTCTTGTTGCTTAAATATCTGGCTACACTGTATTATCTGGCAAGCTATTAATTAGGCTTGTGGCTGATGGACCCTTGTTTCCTGATTTTACACCTCAGAACTTTGATCTCTGTGCTTGGTAACTGCAGAGTTGTATCAGGGCTTGTTTTAGCACGGTGTGTTTAAAATGCCAAGGCAGGCTGCTGGTTGTCAGTGTAAGCATTGTGTGCACTGGGAATTTGTTTTAAATACTTTTTTTCTTCCTCCTGTCATTCATTTATTCATTCATCAGCCCTCCTTTTTTAACCTGTACAACATAAAGATGCTTTGCAGTCGATTCTCCCTTCTGGTTTTTTGCCTGTTGTGAAAATCCTTAAAAGGCTGGGATTTCCTTATGTTCTTGACACAAGATGCTTCTGAGATTCACCAGCTGCTTTTGCAGGCATTGACAAAAATCTCAGCAGTGGGTGGAATGTGTTACAGAGCTACTCTGTGCAAACTAATGTTTCCACTTGGATATAATGCCAGCTTCAGGTAGGTCTGCAATCAGCTGTGTTGTGGCAATATCAGCTGAGGGAACAGGGCAATGAGACCTGTCAAATCTTGCTGCCTACCTACAGATTTTTTTTTCTCACATGACAAACCTACTGTTAATTTTTGCACCCTGATGGCGTGATATCACCAGAAGGTGGTCTGTCATTGAGTCACTCATCTCTCCTTGTCTTCCTTCAGGTGAGGCAGATTTCCTCTTCCAAAATGACTTTCCCGTTTCTGGTTTTGTGCCTGGCGTGTTCTGGGCTTGGAAGGGCAAAGGGTAAGTTGAATTTCCTGCAATCTGCTTGAAAACTGTTTGGGAACTGGTTTCAGATTCCTGAGGCTCCAGCAGTCAGAGTAAGAGATAAAAGTAGCTGAAATGCAGATTGCTGATGCTATTACATACAAGCTGAGGCAGAGATATGGAGCTGGCAGGTGTGATATAAAACCTCCCAGAAGCAGCATTTAGAGATGGCAAGAGACGAGCAGCACCCCATAACTATGATGACACTGGACACTACTGTTCACCTGAGTTCAGTGTCCAATCGTGGAGCCCTCCCTAAGGAATGAAACTCTGTTTTTTTTCTTTCTCTCCATCTCGAATGTGCTGTGAGCTCTTAAACTATGTGGTCCAGAAACTCTTCTTAAGCCACATTTACTCCTCTGAGAAAGGCTTGGTGTGTAATTCCCTGGTGCAACTCAATCTTCCTCCTGGGAAACAAAAATTGGGTATGTGCTGAATGGGAAGACAGGAGCTGATTTAGTGACAGTGGAGAAGGAAGTCTGCAGGGATGGGTACAGAAATAGGCTAAGTCTTTTTGCATTTAAACAGTTTAGAAGAAAACCAGAGCCTCAGGCAATGTAAATCAACATCAGTGATTTTTAGGAGTACTCAAGAGAAGAGTTTTTTGGTGGAAGAATGTATTGAAGGAGTTGTTGTGTCTTAGACTTCTGAATATGTGTCATATCTGCCCCTGTGACTATTTTATGTCACTGCAGTTGTTCCCCAGGCTGAAGAAATCCAAGTGAGGGTGGGTGACAACGCACCTCTGAGCTGTGCCCTGACAGAACCCATGGATGTCGTGCAAGTGACGTGGCAAAAGGGCTCTGAGAAGTCCCATAAGAACATAGCTACATACAGTAAACTGAAAGGACTGAAGATTCACAAGTCCTATCAAGGCCGAATGAATTTCACAAGCCTGGAACTCAACGAGACCAGCATCACTTTTTGGGACGCCACCATGGATGATTCAGGATGTTACCTGTGCCTCTTCAACACTTTCCCCTCGGGCTCCGTCTCTGGACGTACCTGCCTGAGCGTCTTTGGTGAGGTTCCCTGCAGGGATGTGTTTCTGAGTGGAATAAGAGGTGTTTTGTCACCCACAGTATGTCCTGGAGCAGATTCAGGAGCAGGAGCATCCCTTGGTGGAACAGGATGTAGCAACAGGGCATTCCTGCTGTGAGCAAGACTCTGGGGGTCACATTCAAGACTCTTGTGGTGGGCTGGGCTCTTGGTTGTTACTCCTTGAGTAGCAGATGAGACAAAGAAATGGTTTTACTGAAGGGATTATTTTAATACCTGGATTTCAGATTAAGTGAAATGTTTGGGGTATATAACTTGTGTATAGGGGGGAGGAGTTTTGAGTCCTGGAGGGAACCTGACCTCGGTGAGCACTTCTTTGGGCTCAGTGTGAATGCAGCAAGCTTTGCTCTGGTTCATGATGGTTAAGGCTGCTGTTACTGCCTGTGACCAGGAGCTCATTGTGGTGATGGACTGTCTCATTTGTGTGTTGGAAGGTCTCAATGCATCTGTCCACTACAACATCTCTGAAGGTCACTTGGTAGCCGTCTGTAGCGCTGTTGGCTTCCCAGAGCCCACCATCACCTGGAACAACCTGTTCGATTCTGCTCCTACACAGGAGGTGGTCAGTCACGCCAGTGGGGTGGTGTCCATCACCAGCACACTGCAAGTCCACAACCCTCAGAGGATCGGGGCACAGGGCTTGATCTGCAGAGTGAACAACACCAACGAGACGAGGGAACTGCCTGTGAAAATTAACGGAGGTGGGTGAACAGTGCAAGCACCTTGTTAGTGTTGTCTTGGCCTCTGTGTTTGGGTAGGAGTCTGCTGGGAAGAGGAGGGAGTGAGGTGTGTGTGTGTGTGTCAAGAATTAAGAAATGAAATCCTATTTGCATTTGTTGCTCTCTTGGAGACAGTGACATACTGGAGTCCTATCCAAGAGAGGGGGAAAAGCCAAACTGTGGGTTTTAGAGGCACTGTGGGTTTTGCAGAAGGTCAAACTTCAATTTTTCACACAGGCCTTCACAATTTAACAACCTAAAAATATATCACCTGCTATCTGTCCAGATGAAGTAAAAACTCCATGGGTTGCTTGATGACCACAGAAGTGGAAGTTTGGAAGTTCGTAATAAACTATCTCTGAACCAAAAGTTTGGGTTCAACTTAACACGTGTTTTTGTTGTGTTTTAACCCTGTATTTTTAATTTATAAGTTTAGAAGAGCAGCAGAGCCGCAGCCTGTGTAAATCAACATAACTTTATTGATTTCTGGGAGAGCACAGGAGAAGGACTTGGCACTAGAGATGCAGGAAGGAAGGAATAGTCATGGTGAGGAAGGAATAGTATTTCCAGGCATACAGGGAGGCAGCCAGCTGAAGATGCTTGTGTTGGGTTTGTGCAGATGTCTTAAATACATAGATGTAACATCTGAATACCTTGTAGTATTTTTTTATTTCTTCTTCCAACATTCTGCTCTGCTGGGAAAGACTTTCTCCTCAGTTCTACAGATGAGAAAGAGAAACATTTAGAGCTGAATTACCATTTTTATCTCATACAGAAGCATTGACTTCATGTGTCTCCAAATCCAGAACCTTAAAGGGGAGACCACTGATAAATTAGGAGGACAGGAAAAGCAGCACATAAATGTGGGTTAATTCTGAAATTAGATGCTCAAGAAGTGACTGCTACGGGAATAATAGTACAGAGCAAGATCTGGCTTTTAATATTTTCTCTCTAAAACTTAAAACCCTTCAAATCCAGTTCTTAATTCTGAATTAAACTAATTGAAAAAAGCATGCTAAATCTTTCTCCTGTCTGAATTTCAGTATTCTTTTGTTTTGGCCTTTTGAAAAGAAAATATGTGTCTCAGAAAGCAGGAAGCTAAGACTGGTTTTTCTTGCTAGGAGAACGAAGAATCAGCTGACAGCTTGTTATTTTAGCAGTCTTAACATTTTAGAGGATGAGAAATTCCAATGAATAGTTCCATCTAGCTAGATGAGGATTCATAAATTCAACTCTCTGCTTTCATGTGTTTCAGCAATACCTTTCACAATATCAGAGCTTGTGACTAACCAGACATCCTCTTGCCTCTCTTTGCTTATTTTCTTTATAAACCAGCTTTGTTTGGTGTGTCTTTTGTTTTGTTTCTGCAGAAGAGGGGCCCTCATTGCTTTGGCTGGTGATCATTGCTGGGATTGTAATCGTTGTCGTGGCTGTGTGTTTGCTCTTCTGGAGGAAGAAAATATGCCGGAGGTGTTGAAGTGGTGAGTCCCTGACGTGTGGGAAGCAGTGGTTTTTCCTCGGGGGGAAAAGTTTTCCAGTGGTTTTCCCTCAGGGGGAAAAGTTTTCTACTGGTCACAGCACCATTTTTACGAACAACATGATAAAAATAAATAAATCAGGGGAGTGGGGGGACTTTAAGAAATGACAGAAATTTGATGGCCAGTGGTAATTTCACTGGTGTTCAGCCAAATCAAAATGCTCTGTCTGGCTTTAAATTCTACTGCACACATTAACTCAGTTCCTGAGTGTTTAGATACTTGCTTCCTGATGATAATGTGATGTAAAGCAAAGAAATGTTTCCAGAAATAGCAGATCTGTCTGTTGTGAACTTAAACCTACAGTGTCCACTGTCAGGAGGGGTTGATCCAGTAAATCTGCTACTGCAAAAACCTTCACAGAGAAGAAATGGACACTTCTCCCACCCCAAGATAAGTTTTAATTGTAAAATGAGAGCTTTACATTGATCCCATAAACAATTAGAGTTGTTTGTGTACATTAGATGAGCAGAGGTATGCGTTTATATCAAAGTTTATCAACAAAAGCAGGATTTGAGTGACTTTTTTTGTGAAAAGCAGGACTTGAGTGAATTGTTTGTGTTCCTTCCCTTTTATCGTGGGTTTTGAGTAGCAAGTTCCAGGATGTGACTTCTGCAGTGAGCTTGTAGTCTAGTTTTTTATCAATCTTATAGGGGCAGCATTACTTTAACCAGAGCAGCTTTTGGCCAGCTGATCCTCTTCCTTCACACAGTGAAGGAAGGAATTCCTGATTAAAGCAATGTGTAGTCCATCTTCCTAATGTACATTTGTTTCCTGAAGTCCTCGTCAATTAGTTTGCTGTAAAAACTCCCAGAGTGGTGCAGTTTGATCACTATCACAATCTGTGTGGGTTTTTTTTTAAATTATTTTTTTATACCCAGGGTGCTCTTCTTATGCCTGTTCCTAGGGGTTACTTAATATTTCTCTTGCATATAATTATAACTGTCATTTCCCTGGGAATCCTTAGAATACCTGTGGAACTGCAGCAATTTTAAACACTATATTTCCAGTGTGTTACCACTCCACAAACACCATATTGTAATGAGGAAATCCCCTAACCCTCCTTAGCTATGGCTCCTTGTCTGGTTTTGTGGTGATTTGTTAGGTTTTTTTTGGTTTTCCCTAATTATCTGTGACATATTTTTATGCTTTTTCAAGTTGCAGTTGACTCCCCTCAAAGGAAGTAACACCCTGCAGAAAGCCCTTTTCTGGTTTTATGCTTTACTGTGCTCACATTGGGTTGGAATGAGGGGCAGTGCCCACGCACGTACTTTTTTGGAAGGGCTTTTTGTACCCTCACAACAGAGAGCAAAGAGCACTGGCAGGAGAAACGTCAGTCTGACTGGACTTTAATGCTGCTCTTTATCCTGCACCAGATGACAAGCACTGCCTTTATAGTCTGGTCAAGCTGCCCATGGAGTAAAACAACAGCTCTTTATCTGGCTGGCTGGGGACACTTCTCTGACCAAGCTGCTGCTGCTCTTGAGAGTATGGTTGTTTTTTTTTTCCTTGCTTTTCTGTTGGTCATTTCCTTCCCTTTTAGTGGTAGAATCAGGTGAAGGGCTGGGGTTGAGATTTGATGTCCCACCCCCTCCCTTGGGTGTTCTCCCTTAAAGAGAGACACTTCCCATGTGAAGTGTCCTCACTACGGCTGGCAAAAAGTCACTCGTTTGGGGACAAACCGAGTGGCCTTTGTGGCGAGTGCAGATGGAAAACTCGTGTCTCCATCTGTGAGAAGCAGAGGCCAATTTAGCTGTGCCTCTCACTCGGTGCAAACGCAGTGAGCTGCGAGGAATCAGCAGGCAAAATCCCCCTCTCCAGCCTTTCTTCGTGTTACTCTTATAAAGAAGTTACGATTTCCTTCTTGACTCAACCAATAGAGCTTGTTTACTCCAAGGTAAAGAGGTCAATTAATAAGCCAAGAGCCTGGGCTGAAGCAAAACAAAGCCTTGTGAGCTTTGTTTTGAATAAATTCCTGTGACTTAACTCTCCTTTACACTCTCAACCTGAGAGCGCTGTCCATGACATCAGTTGCTTACTCCCAGGCTTGCAGGATACTCTTATTTCAGCCTGGCCAATTAAAAAGCTTTATAGTTAGTTCTCAGGACGTCTGTGAGGGGATAAAATTCCACACGTGCTTGTTTTTATTTTCCAGGAGGCTTGTGGTGACTTGCAGTGGCCCAGCAAGGGCTGTTTCACCAATGCATAGAAAAACCAGAATGATTTCTTTGGTTTGTGTTGATTTTTTAAGCATTGGTATGTTGATACCTCTTGGGCAGCTTATACAGGTTTTGCCATGTGGAAAGGTTAATAAATAGTCAAATAGTACGTTTCTGTTTAAAAAAAAAAGTGATGGCAACAGGTTAGAAAAACATGAGGCTTGTTGACGAATAGATCTGATATGACCTAAGAAAGCTGGAAGAACAACACTTGAAGAGTTGTAAAAAAAGAGATTATGTCAGATGAAAAAATTCCGTTCTGCGGAAAGTGCCAGCATCCAGCATAAGAATTTTATGGGGGTGTTTTTTTGCTGTTTAAAACCCAAAACCTTCAGGTTTTCCTTCAAGTGGAAATTTTCTGGAAGTCAGATGCGAGCAGCATTTTATGCCTTTTGTCAAAGGGTGGACATGATGATCTCGGAGGTCTTTTCCAGCCTTAATTATTCTGTGTTTGAATACAAGCAACTGCATTTCAAAGAAATACTGAACCTCAGTGTGCTTCATATTTTACAGAAGCACTATAAAACAAGTTGAAAATACCTTTTTGTCACCAGCTGGAGATCACTTGATACCCTGAATAGGGATTTAAGGTGCCCTGATTGGTGTGGTTTTGGTTTTTTGTGGTTTTTGTTTGTTTGGTTGGTTTTGTTTTGTTTTGGGTTTTGTTGTGTTTTTTGTTGTTGTTGTTGTTTTGTTTTGTTTTTTGAAGTTGCTACAAATAGTATAGATTTGGGTTTGTTAAGTGGCAAACAGCAATTTGGCTGATCAGCTGTAATACCCAGGTACCAGAAACCCAAATTTTGGTGTCCTGAAAGGCTGGGAAATAAGTCTTGTGCAGGAAATTCCAATTATTTGGACAACTTGACATAAACAAGAGCTTAGAGACACTTTCCATTGCTGTGTTTATAGTAAAAATAGCAATTAATTCTGGAAGAGCCACTATAGCAGTATTCTCTTGTGTTTATTCAGTTTGGGAAAGGCTTTGTTTCAAAGTTTTGGCTTAGAATTGTGGCGATTCTTATTTTATCTTATGACTTGACTTGTTTTTTCAGTGGATTTGCTTTGACATACATCTGGATTTACTATTCTTGAGGAGACTTGGTAGTTGAGAACAACAGAGCTGGTTGGTTTTAGGAGACTTTTCAGAGTACTTTTTCCAGAAAAGACAGACTAAATACCAGACTTTCAGATGATAAACTCAGGCCTTAACTCCCTCTTTCATGAGGCAGATGGATCTAACTTGCCCTGCTCACAAAGTAATGGGTGTTTGGGAGTCATGTCCCAGCTGGGGAGGCTCATTTTAAAGTTTCTTGGTTTCCTCTCAAGTGTGGCTTTATCATGAGTAGGAGGTTTATATATTTATCCTATTTTTAATTCCCAGAAAAATGGCAAAAAAACATGCAGTGAATACACAACAACCTCATTGCTTTACCCTTCTTAACACCACCCACACCCAAAAAAAGAACAGAAAACAAACAAAAATCCAGACAAACCACTAACCCACCCCCCTCAAAAACCACAGTGTAAAAATATTGTAGCCAAACAGACCAAAACAGAACTAATGAGGGGGGAACTAAAAAAAATTACAAACAAAACAACCCTCCTCACAAAAATGTCAGCACAGAGGTAATTCTGCTGTCAGCTGCCCGTCAGGTTTCCCACAGACGTAAATATTTTGCAACCCAAGTGTAGGTGGTTTTGGGTTTCATCATCCACTGCTTCCAGACAGCGCCTGCTCCCTAGTAGGTCACTTAATTTTCTGTTCAGGATGAAATAAATCCTGTTTGTTGCAGACAAGGTGACGATGGTGGTTGTAGGAAACATCCCAGAGGTTGTCCTGCCCATCTGAAGAAGAAGTGTTGAACTCTGTGCTGCTAAAAAGCTGTTTCTTTGCCAACCAGATGGCTTTTGCTATGGGGGACCAACAGCATTTCCATCCTGTCCATCATATTTGTGCTTTTGTATATAACCAGAAAATGAAATGCAGCTGAAAGGGAGGGAAAACAGCACTCCTGTGATAAATGAATGAATGAACCTCGCTGTTTCAATTCCTTGGCAAGAATTATTGATATACTCAATTCCAGAACACTCTGCAAAATACTCTGGCTGTATGAAGGGTTATTAGACAAGGAGATGGAAGCCTCTTTTATACTCTTCTCCATGAAAAACAAAGGTGCCATATATTTGGTCACTGTCTCCAAATCCATGTGATGGTAGTGTTATAAATTGGATCTCAGACACCAGAATGACATTCTAAAATATCAAACTATTTATATGCTCCATATAAAACCTTACTGCTTTTATCCTGGTGTTTTACCAACCAGGAAAGTCAGTTTGCTTTTCACAGTTTACAAATTCTTTCAGGGTTCTGTGTCTTTCTTATCTCACTGTCTTAACCTGAATTCTGCAGTGTGTGTGACTTCCAGACATGAAAAACAAACAAACAGGGAAGGTCCTACAGTTATTCACCAAAGGGCAGTTTTGTGACTGTTGTTCCCCACTTTCCCCACTGTGCATTTCTTTCCCCTCTTGCTCTTGAGGCAGCAACACAGTGGCCACAATTCATTCCTTTCCCTGTTTTTTTTTTTCCTTTGTTTTCTAGGATCCTTGAGGATTGCCATTCCCCTTCCAGATCATCAGAGGTCAGCAACACAAAGTCAATATTAGAGAAATAATGACTTGACTGGCTGGAAAGAAGCAACCAAAAAAAGGAGAAGATACCTACCCTGCCCTACCTAAACACTGAATTATCACTGAAATGACTAACACAATGTGTTTTTTATCCAGTCTGGACCCTTCATCTTAAAAAGTAGGATCAGAGGGACCACTTAATCCTCCCCTCTGCTGTGCCAAAACCATCTCTGCTCGTGCCACTCACGGTACTGCTGCTGTGAAAAACAGATTTGCCTTCTTCCAGCTGAGATTTGAAAATGTCCACAAATGGAAGCTCTGCAGGCCCTCTGGGGATCCTCTTGCAGTGCTCTTGATTGCTCCTGTAGTAGAGAAGAGTTTAATTTTTGCCAACCTCTGTCTGCAGTTTCACTTGCAGCAACTTCGAGTTCATCGCCCTCTTCCCGCGGTCTGGTTTTCCTTCTCTTACCCGGCTATTCCAGCTCCTTTTCCTCAGTGAATGTGTCACTGTGCCAAAGGCAGTATTGCTTAACTCTCTCTCCAAAAACACCTTCTGGACCCAAAAACCACAGGACTCGAGGCCACAGGAACTCAAACCAACCTGAATTCGTCAGAATTACTGGGGAAGAGCAATGGGACTCCAAGCAGGTGACAGGTTAAAGAAAGCAGCAGTTGGGAAAGAAGCATTACATGTAATTTATATCATATATATAAGTATTGTGGTTTATTTGACCTGTTTGAGTTGGGATAGAGTTCATTTTCTGTACAGTTCTTAAACCCTGACAGCCCCTGGGTTGCTAAAACCAAGCCTACCTCGAGGTGTACATTTAGTGGCCCCTTTTACTGACAGGATAGATGGAAGGACTTAAGGGGGTCCTCTGGTGGTTTTTTATTCAGCTGATGAGTTAAATGTTTTAGGTTTTCCTTCTGTCTGAGTGTCACTATATTGGGATCACTGCCAGCACCATCTTTTGGGTTTGATCAGTGTTTATTTGTGCACCTGAAATACTCCATCTCTCTGAGTGTATTGTATTTCCCAAGTGCCTTTTTTTGTCTTGTGCTTTTTGTGTCCTGTGTTTACCAAGAGTACAGACTGTCAGCCTGCAGCATCTACAGAGGAATTGCAAAATTTGGGACTCAGTGTTAGAACCAGTGTTTTGTTGTTTCCAGAGCAGTGGCAAAACTCTGTGTGTGTTTGTGTCTCAGTGTATTAGTGGGAGTGTGAGGGATGTTATTTACTATTGTAAGTGCAACATGGATTATTTATTTATATATTTTACTTTTTCTAAATAAAAAGTAACTCTTCCCCACCCAATACATCAATTGGTCCTTTTTTTTTTTTTACCTACTTGTTTGAGATTCCAGAAATGCTTTGTTGCAATCTGAGCTTTTTTTTTGTAGTCTTGGTTTGTATTTTGCTTCTTTTCTGTACACAAAGTGGGACTTCAGTGCTTTTTTATAAGATGTTTTGGGGTATTTTTTTTCTCTTTTAAAAAAAAAAAAAAAGAAAATTGAACAAAACTTTTGAGAGGAATTTAAAGAAGCAGCTGAGCTTTATTTCAGATTTGGAAATAACTTCAGTAAATCAAACCAGTGCATTTTATCTTTTTACCAGTATTGTTTGTGTCACGTTCCTTGCTTGGTTATTCTTTGTCTGAAGTTTCATGCTCTGCTGTTATGTTGTCTTGTTTTCTATATTCCCCTTGCTGAAAAGAAGCCAAATAAAGCAACTTGGAACATCAGCCCTCATGGTTCCTTTTGTTTGTAGCACACCATGAGCTTTCATAAATCCACCAGAGAAGCGTCACAGGTGAGCTCTGAGTGCACAAATAATTCCTTTGGGAAAGGCAGCAGTGGCCCAGTGTATCCTTTAAGACATAAAGACTTCAGAGATGAATTGGGAAACCACAGTCTGTGTTTCTCATGGCATTGACTTGCACTTTTTAGAGATGTGAGAGTGAGGAACTTGGCTGTAGTTCAAAACAATGTTTTATCTCCCTGGAGGAGTCATGGGATTGTGTCCCAGATCTTGCATTACCCGTGAAAGGCAGCATTTTATTGCTTGTCTGAGTTCTTACACGTGGTAGAATACAATATACAGTAATTTGCAGAGGTTTTTGAGACTGCAACATAAACTCCTCCTCTTGACTCATTTGTTTGTTTGTTTGTTTCTTTTTTTCAGGGAAACAAATGCTTGCTGCTGGTGACCTCTGGAGAACTTCCTACTGGATGCTGACCATCCCTCACTGTGAGTGACAGGGGTTTGTAGTGTCTTCTCCTGGGAATTTGTTGCAATAGAACAAGGGGGAATGGCTTAAAACTAAAAGAGGATCGATTTAAATTAAATATATATATATATATATGTAAGGAAAAAGTATTTTACAGTGAGAGTGGTAAAAGGCTGCCCAAAGAGGTGGTGGATGCCCTTTTCTGGAAACATTTTATGTCAGACTGGAGCAACCTGGTCTAGTTGATGTCCCTGCTGATTGCAGGGGGGTTGGACTAAATGACCTTTAAGCTCCTTTCCAACCCAGACTGTTCTGTGAGTCTAAAAATTTGGCACTCTGAGGTCAGCCAGGCCACTTTTCCTTGCACAAATCCCAGGCAGAAGAGCAATTTTTGCCTTGCACAAAGAGCAGAAGGGCTGCTGGCCTGGCCCAGGATCTCCTGGCAGAGTTGAGGTCAAGTGAAAAGCAGATTGGCCACCCTTCTCATCTTGCAGAATGACGTATTTCCCCAGGGAAACCTCAAGGTTGCTTTTTTTGGCTGCCAGCCTGGTGCTCAAAACCTGTCAGAGTGTTTGCTTTGGTTTTCAAGTCATTGTTTAGCGCCTACAGCTGTCTCCTCTCTTTGTGTGCCTCTGTCCCTGGCTGGCTCAAGGATGCCATCACTCTTAGTCCTGCATTGTGCTGACATGTGGGACAGGAAGGTGAAATGTCTGTGGGAGATAACAACTTCCATCCACCACCACCAGAGAAGGTCTCCAAACCCCCACAGGGTTCCTAGGAAAGGGGGAGTTTGCAAAACAACCAACCAAACAAAAAAAAAAAAAATCTCTTCTGCTGGCAGTGTGAGGACTTTCTTTTTGCCCTCAGTGTTTTCTCCTTCCCTGCCACACCGAGGTCGGGGCAGCTGCTCCAGCTGCCTCTCAAGTGGTGAATTTGTGCTTGTGCTTTTCCCTTTATCCTTCCCCCATGAATTTTGCCTGTGCACATCACATTTCCAGGTTATTTGCTTGCCTTTCCTTGAGGGGCTGCCTTCTGGTTTGGCAACAGAAGATGAACCTTCACAGGAGCCACTCTCACTGTGCGGCCACTGGGACCCAGGGAGATGAAAACGCCTTCCCTGCTGCTGCTGCTCTGCTGACTGAAACGCTGTTTGCTCTGAGAACCTCGTGGCAGCTGCTCTCAAAGTCTGCTCTGTAACAAGATGTCAAGGAAGGAAGTGCAAGATAATTTTAGGAGCTAACAGGACTGCAAGGTGGGATTTTTGTCTGGATTTGTGTTTTGGTTTTTTGTTTGGTTTTTTTTTTTTCCTTAAGATGGGTTGACTTTAGTGGCAGAATCAGCACTGAACAAGAATTTGCGTGTTGATGAGCAGTATTTATCAGCCAGGAAGGCTTAAAAGTCTTTCAGCTTCAAGTGGAAAGCACTTCAATGTGGTTTTCTGAGACCATGCTCAATGGGTGTCTTGGGAGATGGGAATAATGAGCTCAGTGCTCTGCCTGCAAGAGGGAAGTGTGGCCACCTGGACTGACACAACTGGGCAGCAAGGAACAGGACTGCAGCCCCAGCCTTACTAATTTCCTTAAGGAAACAGAGGAGATGGATTTTTATTACTAATTCCAGTCTAGCAAATCTCTTCTGGAAAACAATGCAGCTGAGTGTAGTGGCTGACAAAAGGAAGTTGGGTGTTTTCCACTCCTTATTAAAAGCAGAGTTTAAGCAGGTCGTTTTTTTGGCTGCTGTAGCATGAATCAGACACATGACCTGTTCTGGTAAGGGTTTGTTCATGTGTTTTGGTAAGGAAACACAGTCTGAGAGAATGATTTATATTTCATTTCACCCACTCTTAAAGTGTTCCCGATTTCAACTTCTCTCTTCCCGAGTATGACCTTCTCTGTTCGGGCTTCCCTGATTTATTGTTCCCCTGGGCAAGTTCCTTCCTGGTCACTCTTGTTCTTTGCAAAGGACTTTTACCTGAAATGTGTTATTTTTTTGGTTATCTGGACACACTCTCCATCTGACTTCTCCCTTTCCCTTTCTGGTACTTGGGAGTTCACAGTGGTCGCTCCATCGTGGGAAGGTCCCAGTGACCATGCAGTGAAAGCAGCTCCTGTGAAAGCTCATCCTTATTTCCAAACCAGAAGGCAAATAACCTGGACACCAGTAGGCAGACCCAGGACAAAGGAGGGTGAATTTCTGTCTGCAGGAGCTCCACAGAGCCCAGGTCCTGGCAACACACTCGGAGCTCATGTGTTATGAACTACTCAGTTTATTTATTTTTTTTATATATATACTGAGTTATATACTCAGTTATCACTGATAGGGTAGGAGTGCTGTTGGTCTGGGTCCTCCCTCTCTCCCAGTGTCATAATCACTCCAACCTCATTGAAATCCTTCCTAGTTTTCAGCAGACAATCCTACTTTCTCAACTGATTTGGGCTCTGGAGGGGCTGAATCTTATTGTAACTGGTAATTATGAACTGAGACCTTTCTCCCATTTGTTTCACTGGAAAGAGCAATTGTTTCTCTGCCCACACTGCCCAGAACTGCAGTTCTTGAGATACTGAAAAACTGCAGTTGGGGAAAAACTTGGATTCTCGAGCAGGTTTGGCCACCTCCTGGGCAAGAGCTGAGTTTTGCCTGGAAGAGTAAAAAAATCCCAGTGTCAAAGGGGTGTTTGGTGCTCTACCAAGAATGAGAAACATCGAGGAGGAGTTTCTGTGGTGTGGTCCTGTCCCCTATAAATCAGAGAGGGAGCAGAGGTGCTGGGGAGCCCCATGACTGACCTACAGCCTCAGGCTGTAGGATTTCCTCAGCCTGGCCTTCTCAAATTATCCAAGCTGAGGTTTTTACCACCACATCCCAGCTCTGTATCCTGCTAAATGCTTTTTGGGACTGCTCAGGTTCGTGTGAGATTTGGACTCTTGAATCTTCAGACCCTGTTTGTGCTCTGCAGACCAGATTTGGGTGAGAAACGTTATTCCTGTGGTGAATTTGGGAGAGAGAGAACTCTCTGCTGCGGGATAAATGCTGTGTAAAGAGATTAATATGCTTTTATTTTTTTTGGTATGTAAGCAGCGCTCCCATCTATGGGAAAGGTCTCTTCATTCCCACAGAAGTAGGAGCTGTGTCTCTGAGATTTTTTTTTTCCTCTCTCCCTTCTGACACAGCTTTGTGTGTTGATCTGGCCAACATAAATAAATAATAGTGTAACAGAAATAATAACATAAATACCTAAGTAGTAACATAAATAACCTAGGGGTTGAAATTAACCCTGGGAAGCAGGATGGGCACCCTGAAAAACCTATCATACTAAAACCAGGGCAGACAGAGCTGTTGAGAAAGATGGGATGTGGAAATCCCAAAAGGTGTTTTGAGCAGTCCTCTGCTCAGTGGTTTAACTCCACTCTTGGGATAGTGCAAGACCACTAAGTTTAATATTTCATATAATTAATGTTTTGTGGGTGTAACTGGTTGTGTTGGTCCACATTTGTCAGCCTTTCCTTCTGAAATATTTTGGGAGAGAGTTTCAGAATGACAAGCATTTATGTCCTTGTGAGAAAATAATCAGCTTGGAGCTGTTTCTTAGAGAAAATTGCCCTGAATGGGCATTTAGGAGCAGTGGGTCTGTTCAGATATGGGATGATTTAGATGTTTACAGAGCATGTTTATCTGCTGCTGTATATATACATGGTTCATTCTGTTTTTGAAATGAAGAGGTTTTTATTTGTATATTGCAGTGTAAATAATGTGGAGGCAAAAAAAGAAAATACTACCTGACCATCTTTACTCCCAGAAGTTTTACTTCCAAAAATAGGATAACTATAAACAATTGTTTTGTTTTCTTTTCCCACTGAAATGGTGGGAGGTACCTTCAGTGGAATTAATAAACATTTTACAAGAGGAGTATGTCAAGGTTTAAACTTTCAGTTAAAGTGTTCCACACTGTCTTATTTTACCTTTATGAATTGCTGTGAAATGTTTTACGTTAAGGAATAGACAGCTTGTGAACAACCCCAAATAATGTAAAATTCTACGTCTTCTTACTGTAACTTGCTGCTCTAGTAGCTTTAATTCAGTAGAGGAAAAAAG